TTTTTTAGCTTGAGGGTGATTTCCAAACTATTACAAAGTTTCCTGTTTTTTTTTTAATTTTCAGACTAAAACTTTTTGAACTGGTAAAACTTAGAGGCATTCGGGACGTTGCCTTGACACGAGCCGTCCTTGATCCTTTCAGTATTGAAGAAACTTTTGATATGCCATTTTAGTACAATTTTTTGTTGAATTTACAGTTTGTTTTTCAATTCTCCTCTCAGTAATTTGAAAGCAATGTACTGATATTTGTTTTAAGTTTATACATTCGCCATCATCGAACAGATTATTTTATCTGATTATATTCTTTTTATTTGAAAAATTCAGAATTTTCCCGTTTTTCTAAGTGGTTCTTCGGCTTGAGTTTGTCAAACTGACTTGAGTATGTCAAACTGACTTGAGTTTGTCATATGTGCTTTTATGAAAAATCGTTGCGCTACTCACTGTGTATAATCATGAAATCTTCTAAAGTTGTTCAACAAAATGGCTGTGTTTTTTTGTCAAATGTCTTTACGTCTGACACCACAGGCATTTCTTTTTGAATCGCAAGTGATAAAAAGGTCCACACTTCTCTGGTAACATCTATATCGCTACTGAAGTTTTTGTTTCATTCAGTTTTTTGCGCGTTCTTGTTTCATACTCCGCATAATTATCCAGATTTGTTTTAAATGGCGCATAATTATCCAGATTTTTTTCTAATTTGATTTACTGAATGGTTTTTTGACACAAGTTGCGCAAGCGAATAAAAATCGATAAATGTCTGCTATATATAAAGCTGAAGTCTTCAAAATATCAGTTAAATGATAAAACTTTTGAGAAATGTTACGTGTATAGTTTTTCTTTAGAGCTCCGACTCCATTTCATTCAGGGATGTGTTATTCAGCAAGTTTTCAAAGTTCTTCTATTAGAATTTTAATTCTTTTCGTTTTTTCCTTAAACCACCATTCTTCAAACAGTTGCTGCCACAAACATTGCAATTGAAAAAAGCGTCTTACCTGCAGATGAAATGATACTCTTGTGTAAGTTGAAATGCTTGAGAATTGTGTGGCTTTTCTCTCTCAACCAAAAAATCTTTTTTGCAATCGAACTGTTTTTGCAATCGATTTTTGCAATCGAAATCAAATTGGTCAACCTCATAAAAAGGTCGACAAAAGTTCGTTTCAGGTAGTAAATTTTTCTAAAAATTATCTGAAAAAATATTGATTTTTTTCCGGATTCGTGCTTGTTGTCGGTTCATTTTTCGTTTTTTAAAAGCAGTTTTTGTTATCTGGTACGATTTTAATTATCGGCTTGCTTTCTAAAGCATAGTTTTATGTCGATTTTAACGGCTTTTATTAGAATTGAAAGTTCAGTAATTTGTCAATTTACCAAGTCTGATTTTTAATAATTTTCTATGTATTTTTCGTTTTTTTTTTTTCGATTTAAGAGTTTCAATTTACGTTATATTTTTAGTCAACTTATATTGCCGAATTATGAGGGCAAAAATGCGATCATGTGTTTCAGTACTATCGTCGTAGAAACTTTGAAAACTTAATGAAAAGTTATGACAACAGTTTTGTTTTCGGCGCTCAGCATGGGCCGTACTAAATTTAGTCGCCTTAGTTGCTGCTCGGTTAAATATTCCCCCGCTTTTTAAGGCTGTTCATGAACATCATCCGATAAAAACATGTTGCTTTTGTAGCTGTTGTTTTTTCGACCTTTTTAAGTTATTTTTTCAACTTACTTTTTCAGAAGTTTTTTTTGACTTCTGTCTTTTTTTCTATTCACTATTGTGTAGCGCAATGTTTTTTTTTGTATCTCATTCTTATAAAATGATAAATTCTAAGCAAGAGATTTGGTCACAAACTACCTTCAAACCTATTTTTTCTCTTCATACTTTGCTCGTAACTTTCAGAATTTTTTTTTCAAAATAACAAATTTGGTTTGTTAGCGCTATTTGTTTTTAGTACACCCAACGTTTTTCCTCCTTCTCTATAATGTTTTTTTTTTCATTTTCAATTTAAGTTTAGGCATGCTAATGTGATTTAGGTTTTTCGATTTTATACCTACCAAAACTTGATGAATTTTCACTTTTTTTGGCTCAACGGTCGTCTTCACAAGTCATTCCTGCTTATTTAACGGTTGATAAATTTTTTCATGCTATTTTTTTTTGGACATTGCGTTTCTTGGCATCGATACAAATGGAAAAAATGATGTTTTTAGATTTTTAAATTTTTGTTAGAGGCAATTGTTTTTGTGCGATTTTGCTTAGTCTAGCTATCATATTTTTTTGTTCTTTTTTTTAGCCCAAGTGATTTTTACTTGGGTGATTGTATCGCATTTTTTGACGCAACGACCTTTTTCCAAGCATTGTCGCTTTAATTACCGCTTGATAAATATGGTTTTTAAAAATTATTTGATACTGTCAAAGGTGTTTATCAGCATTTTTCCTCAAATTGATCCACATTCTAGACCAAAAAAATATTCGATGCTTGTTTTTTTTTTAATGCGAAATTTATTACTTCGTACATTACACAGCGTGTGGAATGATGGTTATAAAAAATCAATTTTTTGTTTGAAACTTGTGTCATTTTTGAAGCGAACACTACTCCTTATACCTTAAAAGATAGTCGGAACAAGCACTGCGTCGACCTGATACAAGCAGTTTTATTTGATCACTTTCATGAAATGTTTCAAAAACTAAATTTTTTTAACTTAACCTTAATTTTTAGAAGCACTACACTCTGATTGCAGTTTGCCCTAATACGAGCGGTCTTCTGACTTTTGAACTCATTCAATTAGTCTTTTCCATTTTATTTGCCTTTTAGATCAGCGGGGGTGTTGTAATGGGATACTAGTTGCTTTTCCCATAAAAAACGGACTTCAATTTTGGCACTTCAATTCCTGTCGGCACTTGAATTCCTGTCGGCATCTATTTTGCAATTTAAATGCTTTCTGTTTTTATCTTTCGCTTGTCTGCTTATTTTCGTCGGCTTAGTTTCCTCAGAAAGGAATTTTTGAAGGTTCTGCTTTTAGGATCTAGCATTCCGAAAGCTCTTTGCAAAGTTTCTTACCTTGCAGGTAATTTTGTTCTAGGATGTTTTAAACTTCTGCGCATTTTTTTTGTTGTTTTTTGTCGGCTTAGTTCCCGCAGAAAGGATTTTTCAAAGATTTTTTTAATCTAGCATTCGAAAGCTCTTTGCAAAGTTTTTTATGATGCAGGTAGTTTTTTTAAATTTTTTTTGCTAATTGTATTGTTTTTTTAGTTTTTTTTTCCATTGCTTTTTCATTTGCTGTTAATCATATTCATTCTTTTTGCAACACAATTGTTGCGAAATTCTGTTTTACCTCTGTGAAAATTGACCGTTGAGAGCTTTTGTTTCAATATCTGATTTTGATGAGAAGGAATAAAACTACACAGAGCATATGTGTTACGTTACATTCTTCGAAAGTGGGGAAAACTTTCAAAAAGGAAAATAATTAGTCCAAATTGGGAAATTTGAACTTCTCAAGTTTATGAATCATCTTATACTAATTAGTTTTTTGAAATTTTTTTTGAATGAATGCATCGATATCTTAAAGGTGAAACCAAAAAAATACAACAAAAAGGCTGCACAACTATATATTTTTTCTAGTTAACCAGCCAGAGGCCTAGCCCGAAGGTTAACTATTTAAGTTTAACTAAGCTAAGGGTTCTTACAAAAGCTCACCTTGTAAATTGCAGCGCATGTGCGATTTGAGCCCGCAATCATATGATTGCTGGGCACCATCAATACCGATGCGCACAACATATTCCGTCGCTTCCGTCTAAAATGGGAACAAACATGATGATTTATACTTTCCCCTCTAGTCGTTAGTCAGAAATTTAATTAATTTGTACAAATCTAGGGTTTGATAAGAAAAGCTAAACGAAAGTCTTTAGAGCAATTGTTACGGAAAACTGGCTAAGGTCTACCAAAGTTTTCATAAGTTAGGCTTAAATGAACTTAGTTTCCGTTAATACGTGTCAAAAGACCATCTTCAGCAGTAATTTAGCACTCAAACGATATTTTTTTTCAAGGAATTTTAAGCTTCAAAAAATCAGTTTTCTTGTTTCAGATACCTCCAGCACACACTCGAGTGCAAATCTGCTTACGTTATTTCAGTAGCGGATTTAGATGGGAGTCGGGCGGGGGGGGGGGGGGTGGGAGGATAGACGCCCTTTCTCAGGGATTCGACCCCCTGCCGACCCAAAGGGTCCCCCCTTTGTAATATTTTGAGATATCCATTTTTGGCTGATTGACCTTAAAGTTTTTCTAAAGGCGACTTCTGCGCCAGTCTATACTATTTTTTTTAGGGTAGAGCGCGCGCCGAAAAAACGCAATTTTTTGGTCGAAATTTTCCAAAAAGTGCCTAAAAACGCCTTTTTTGGCCTTTTTTTCAAAAATTTGCCTACGGCGCAGAACATTTGATCAAATTAGGGTGTTTATAGTGGTTTGGGAGAGCTCAGAAAATCAATTTGGTCGACCTAAAAAAATTTCGACAAAATGTTCATTTTTTTTTGAAAATCAAACCCCCCCCCACTCCCTCGAGAAATTCCTAGATCCGCGCCTGCGTTATTTATTGCTGGCTTACAACCAAAATGAAGGAACATACACTTGCTGGCGAGTTGTATTGGTTTACAAAAAGATTCGGTGAATTTTCCAAACTAGTTGTTAACCTGAAAAAAAAAATTATATTCCGATTCGATAACTATTGCTAATCTCAAGTGTAAAAAAACTATTACTTGATTGACGACAAAAATTACATAAGACTGGACTTGAGCATCATTATTTCTTGTATCGGTATTGCTGGTATAGCATGTGAGTCTTTCTGTTTTTATAGTGAAACATCAGAAAAATCGTATAAGAATTGTGTTTTGGTTACAGTAAGTTTAATCTTGAATGTTTCGTACTCCCACAAGAAGCTCAAAATCTGCCACCGACTACACGGTGTTCAGAAGGTTCATGAGATATATTGGAACATGTTAGCAAACTTTTTAGTGTCGGTTATGCTGCCAGTTCCAGAAATCTCTGAGGAGGAGAAAGAAGATGTGTACAGGTATATAAGGACCCACAACCTCACAGAAGCATTAGAGGTGAGATAGAAAAACTTGTCTGATCTTAGATATTTTTTTATCACTCAAACAAATTTTCCCATGCAAAGTAACCGAATCATCAAGGCACATATATTTTGACCTTTTTGTTATCAGCGTCGTAGTTTTTGGTTACTTTTGGTTACTTCGGAGTGTCTATATAAAATTTTTGTCTCTGTATTTTCAAAAATAAACTGCATGGCTCGAACCTCATAAATTTATTTCAATTTATGGTACTAATAATCCAATGCAGGTTCTCGAAAATAACCAAAATATCAATAAAGTACCATATAAACGAGAATTGCAACTGACGTTATATTACCTTTTCGCAGATGATACTAATGTAACCGGATTAAATTGCTGTTTTAAATTTTATTGAGAATCTTCGCGCAATAGAGAATTGATTAGTTTTAAATCAATTTTCGCTCAATTAATCAGGCAAAAAAGAAAAGAAAATGTGTCTGGCGGCTTTGAAGCAGTCATAGTTGGACAGTCAACCTTTGAGGCTCAAAAAAAGTTAACTCATAAAGAACAAACTACAATAGCACACAGCGAAACCAGAAATAGCTCCATTGATGATAGAAAGAGGACAGTGAAAGCAGCCAAATTAACTATATTTTGTATACCTTAAAGAAAAAAATCTACAGCAAAATGTGAAAAGTGACTGAAGAGTAGATAATTTTTTATAATTAGTTCAAGTCTGTCATTTCGCGTGGTTTTTGCGAACCACTGAGAGTCGTCTCTGCTGCTTTCAAGAGTAACAATTTAATCTCAGTTTTGAGGTTGCAAATTGCTTTAGCATACGAAACGACAGTTTTCTTGGATTCCAGAGACGCTAGTCGCTTTTTTAAATTCTTGGCTCCTCCTGCTGAAGAAAATACTAGGAGAGTCAGAGTACCGCGTTATATATCTATAACCCTTCATTGTAGTTTTTGCGTTTTTCCGCTTCATGTTGAGCGTATACCTCATTGAGCCTCTTATTAACATACGATGGACAGGAGCTGTGGACTATTCTAACATAAAAAAAGTAACTACGCCTTCATCCCAGAAATTTCTTGCCGTGATATCGAGACCTGCATAATCTGATCTGTATGATGTTGCAAGTTCCAAAGGTTTACCAGTAAAAGGCTGTAGGTCTGGTTCAATGCACACATCGTGGCATGCCTTTGGAGTTTTTGCCGCAAGCAGATTCCTAATACTTTCGTGTCTGCGCAATGTATCCACTTATTTAGTAGTAGTTGTAGTTGAAGTAACGTTCTGTCAGTTGTTTTTGTCGGGTTGTCGTGGAATTGATAGTGGAGTATGTTGAACAGTTCGGGGGCTCGCGTCCAACAGTTTTCATCTGTTTTAAGCTGGCGATTTTTGCTGAGTTCGAAATTGCTGCTCTCTCTCGTGTTGCTGTTCCTCAGAGATACTGGGATTGATTCGTCTTTGACGTTGTATTTACCGTCCATCACTGACTGCAAGAATAGTATGTCATGGAATTCAATGTATATCGAGAGTGGCAACATTTTTAAGGCTCGTAGTCTTTCTGTGTATCCAATTGTCTCATTTAGTATCCGTGATTTTGCTTTTTGTTGTACCAATTACTTTTTTCATTTCAAATTTTGAAGGGTACCATACCTGTGATGCATATGAAGTGAATGGGACAACATAACCGATATAAACATTCAGTTTTGTTTCAAGATTTGCGTGTGACGAGATGCTTCGTTTGAGGTTAAAGAATGCCCGCCATGATTTGCTGACCCTTCGTGTACTGTTGTCGCTCCGCGAGAGGCTTTTCGCCATTATCACGCCTAGATCTTTCTGGGAGTTTGCTGTACCAAGTTTGGTATCAGTCGTTCTGTCAGTTTCTATTTCTCCTTTTATACATAGCACTTTGCTTTTTTCCTATATTCAGTACTATTTGGTTGTCGGTGCTCCATTTTTCTATTTGGGTTGCCAGGACTTCGGCTTCTTCTTTGTTCTTTGCAATGACTTTGAAGTTTTCTGCATAACCAATACATCGCATGATCGATGGAAAAAAATTGCTACGCAGTTCGGGGTAAGATGGCAAACAGGCAGATTGTAGTGGGTTGCAATTGCATCTCTGATCTCGCAATTGTTTCAGAGATTTTCATCCTCACTGGGAAGCGTACTTAACCAGCCGGAACTTCCCTTCTCATTTCAACTTGAGACATCGCTTGAGACTCGAGATTACGTCACGCTTAATATTGTTGCGGACTTTCATCGAATTTGATTCGTTTCAACTCTTTGATTTCTCGACAGGCTGTCATTTGGGATCTTAGAGTATTATTGGGCAGATTGAGAGATTGATCAGCGATTGCTTCGACCAACGGAATGTGGCAACATTTTTAAGGTTGTTCCGCGAGATCGTAAACAAGGTAGCCAAGCACCACATCCCGTCTGGCCGTCGCCCAACGAGCACTCCAGGCCTACCGCCAGAAGCGGCCAAGCTCATCAGCCAACGCGATGCCCTGAGGACAAACAACCCCACATCCCCAGACTTGCCACTCCTCAACAACAAAATCGAGATGATCCTCAGGAAGTCCCAAACTGCCCGATGGCATGAATACCTCCAGACATTTGATCACAAAACAAAACCAGAGAAACTCTGGAGGACCATTCGTACCATTGACGGCAAAAAACGCGTCCCGCCAAACCCGTCCATCAGGTTTGACGGACGCACATACACCCGACCTAAGGACCAAGCCAGACTTTTCAACAAGCATTTGACGGCCCCAATCAAACACGAAAGCTCAAAAGAGAACCGAGTCATCAAACGCAAATTGAAGTCACTTTCCCTCGAAACCCCCATACAGACGACCCCGTCCCAAGTCAGCAAGGCGATCCGCAAGTGCAAGAGTTCGAAGGCGTGCGGCCCCGATGGGCTAAACGCACTGCATTTGAAAAACCTCGGACAGCACGGCGTCGCCTGGCTGACCAAAGTTTTCAATGGCTCCCTCGCAAAGTCCCAAATCCCCGCCATCTGGAAAAAATCAATTGTCATACCACTACTCAAGCCCGGAAAACCCCCACAGGACTGGTCCTCCTACCGCCCCGTCTCGTTACTCTGCCCCGCTGTCAAAATTTTGGAAGCCTGCATCCTCCCAATACTTCAATCCCACCTGACCCCAGAACCACACCAACACGGCTTCCGCCCCCTCCACTCAACCACAACTGCCCTGCTCGAAATCTCCAGCGCGGTCGCCGACGGTTTCAACCAAAAGAAACCGGCAGACCGCACGGTACTGGTGACATTAGACCTTTCCAAGGCCTTTGATATGGTATGTCACCGCATCCTGCTGGAGAAATTGAGCAGAACTTCACTACCCCCTTCGCTGACCCGCTGGCTCTCAGGGTACCTGACCGGCCGCCAAGCACGCACCCTGTTCCGCGGTGAGACATCTCCCGCCAGAATTGTCCGAACAGGTGTTCCGCAAGGCTCAGTCATATCACCGACTCTGTTTAACTCCTACGTTGGCTCCCTCCCCTCCCCTCCCGAGGGTGTCAACGTGGTGAGCTACGCAGACGACGTGACGCCCTGGGCCAGCGGGCCGAAGATCAATATCATCACCGCTAAGTTGCAGCCATACCTCGACTCCCTAAAATGCGCTGTAACATTACTCACGCCTGACACCAAGGAATGCAACGTACAACCACACTTGACGGTGGCAGATATCCCGCTCAAGTTGGAAAAACACCCCAAAGTACTTGGTGTCAGGTTTGACCCGATGTTCAAGTTCGGGGAACATTGCAGGGTCGCTGCCTCCAACGCCTCCAGGGCGGTCAACGTCATGAAGGCCTTGGCAGGCACGGACTGGGGTCAGGACACGGAAACGCTACTCGTGACTTTCAAAGCCCTGGTCAGGCCTCGTCTCGAATACGCGGCCCCAGTTTGGTCTACAGTCGCATCCGAGACCAGTGTCAAGCGCCCGCAGACCATCCAAAACACGGCTCTGCGGGTCGCCACCGGGAACCATCTAATGGCCCTCCAAAGCCACCTACACGAAGAGACGCAGGTGCTCCCGGTGAAAGCCCACACGGCAATGCTTGCAACACAACATCTCTTGGCTTGCCACCTCCCCGAACACCCTGGTCAGAGACTCCTCGAGAAACCTCCTCCCCCCCGCAAAATGAAACCCACACTAGTCTCTGCCCATGCCCCCCGTCTGGAACACCTCCTCGAAGGCGTTGACCTGCCGCTACCAACGAAGGAGTACCGACGGCTCCTGAAAACTGTGCACACAGAGACGGTGGCGACGACAACCCAGTCGTATCCACCGTCTGGAGTCCTCGGTACAAGACCCCCTCCTGTCAACGTCCGAGAGGAGAAGACCCTACCCAGACGTACTCGGAGGACCCTCAGCCAACTTCGGTCCGGCTACAGTCAACACCTGTTGTCGTACCGGGCCAGGCTCGAACCAGACCAAGGGTCCTCCTGTCCCCTCTGCCATACAGCCCCCCAAACGACTGCCCACCTGTTCCAGTGCCCCACAAACCCCACTGACCTCCCCCTCACTGCCCTTTGGACAAACCCGGAGGAAGCCGCCCGTTTCATTGACCTGGCCGGGGTACACCCCACAATGTAGGGCCCCGGCGAGAGGCAACTACAACAACAACCAACGGAATGTCATGAGTTTCAAGTAATTGTAGTCGTCAAGATTTTCAAGCACAGTGCTCCACTGTTTGATGCATCTTCCGTGGTATTTCCATTTGTAACGGAGTCCAAAGATGTATTCACGGTAGGCTTCATAAGGTTATAAGGCCCCAAAAAGAGTGGCCTCAAAAATATGAAGCCTCAAAAAAGTGTGTTCAAAATTTAGATTTAAAAAAAATTTAAGATCAAAGATGTTACGCTCCTCGAAACACAATCACATAAAATGTAATTTCGCCTTACAAATGAGGTTTTTTGAGGCAAATAAACGGACATAACATAAAACAAAATCATTTAAGACAAAACTGAAAGAGTTTGAAAAGATTTTTTTTTTACAAAATTCGATTTGGTAAATTTACAAATTTTCAGACAAATTAAAATGAATTTCATTTACTGCGAAGATAATTGTACTTAAAGTTGTAATTTCATCAAAAAATTCCATACTATGGATAAAATCAAGCAGACAAACGATAGGCCGACTGTATGAAAAATTGGGTAGAAATTTCCAAAAGTCGAACCCGCACCTTTGTGGTTCCAACAATGGGCGTTACCTCTAGGCAGAGAAGTTAATTGTATTTTAATTTATAATAAAATACTTAAGGTCTCACCTGCAATTTATAATAGCAACGTTGTTTACGGCAGACTATTGAGTAACTGATTACAAAACGCTTGCTAATCGCAAGACTAACTATGTCGTTGCAAATGGTCTGCTTTATGTTCAAGAAAATGTTCTCGATTTTCATATTCATGATATAATCCTTCCCGTACCGAGATTTTTTTTTATGATTTCCGACTTGGAATTCTTTCTATCTAATCTAATTTTGTGGTCAGAAATTCTTTGTGAAATGTTTTGATAATGCAGGGATTTTCTTAGAATTCTTTATTTCTTATCTTCTTTCTGATCAGAAACTAGCTAAATCTAGGCTATTTCTTGCAAAAAAATGTCTCCGGCTGGCGCTCGATCTCACGACCTTCGAGTTTTTGGCGGTTGTCTTAACCGCTAGGCCACTTGACCGGCTAATTTTGGATAGTTATATCAATCTAATTCAAAACAACACTTGTTGTAACAAGTTTTATTTTGCATTTTATTGCTACGGCCCCGGGTTGACCAAAACTTCTTATCATACAATTTCCATATATGAGAAACTTCTTGTCATACAATTTCATACAATTCCATACGTACAGAAAATTGTATGAAAACTCTATGATAAGCATTTTTCCATATATGAAAATTGTATGATAGGTGTTTTCCCATAAACCAAAAATTTTGATTTTTTCTTTCTAAATTTAGTTTCCGAAAAATTTTCGGTTGTGTTTGCAACCGAACACAAGTGACAAAGACCTTGGTTACTCAAAACACCAAAGGTTGGACGGTCTTGCATTTACAATGCGTAGAAAACCACCTGAAATTCGCTGTCTTTCACAATTAATATAACAAAAGTAACAAACTTATATTTTTTGGCAAAATTTTTTAATGATGATTATATTAAATTTTTGAATTTTCAAATTATCAGACATTGATCAAGGCGTACATTAACACTCCATACAAAAAAAAGAGGAATTTTATCACCAGATTTTTATCACCAGATTGTTTTATAAGAATCAAACAGCCACAGAAATGAGTTTATACCTGTTTTCAACCATTTTTAGAAATTGTATGAAAATTGTATGACAAGCATTTTCCGACACACTTGATGTATGGAATTGTATGATAAGCATTTTCGGTGTATGGAGGTCAACCCGGGGCTATTGCGTATATTCGAAGCATGTTTATCTCGTTGCGTTTCTTAGCATTGAAATTTTAAATGAGCCCCCGTATATGCAATACGGCAAAGAAGCAATTAACAACCGAATAGACTGTGAACAAAAATCCTACGGCAAAATTTTAATGCGCGATTGCATTATCTTTGCTGGTCTGAAAGCTAATCAAATGAACATCATATAAACAAGACTGCTCGTATCAGGGCGAAGTCCTGAATGAGCCGAAAGCCTTTTAAGATTTATGGAGCTGTAATAACAATAAAAAATTTAATGAAAAAAAAACAGGTTGAAATTTTTTTTTAATTTGAATTTTGTTATGAGAATCATCCCCCACCCGCTATATAAAGTACGAAAGGATAGATTTCGCTCCTTGTAACAAATCAACTAAGGCAAATAAGCTTCCTTCAACCAATTTGGAACGATTTCTAAGACGGATTAAGTCTCCGCTTACGCGTTAAGAGCGCGAAGTATATCGCGCGTTAATTGTCCCAAAATGGCAATCTTTAAACCCCCGTAACTTTACGAAAAATGATCACAAATGAAATATTTTTTTCAATTTTGAGCTCAAGACAACAATACCTTTCGAATGATACAAGAAAATTCCGTCAAAAATGGTTAGTTAAAAAGTCGAAATTTGTCTGAGGAAAAAAATCACCCCGAGCAGAATTATTCCGTTACTTTCGTATTGAAAGTCGAAACAATAATGGTGCATAGACATTTGCGTCCCAGACATTTGTGTCCCTGACAAAAATGTCCGAATTTATTTTCTTTGATTTGACCTTTGATCTTTCATACTGTGATGTTTTGCGTTCGTTTGATTGTTCTATAATTAGATTCTATGTGTACCATAATAGAAAATTGAAAGATTTATTAGATCGTGCATATACATTTTGTTACATATCTTTGTTTCAGGCTGTGTTGTCAGGATTGGTAGTGACGAGACCGCCGAATAGCATAGAGTACATTGAGGGCAACTTGGCAGACCTGAAGAACCTACCTTACAATCAAATCAAATGGTAAAAAAGAGTGACAAATTGATGTGCAGTATTGCATATTGTTTCGGACCAGTGTTCCGACCACGTGGTTAAAAAAGTTTCTGTTTCTTTTGTTTTCTTGTTTTTTCTTTTTTAAAATCTTGTTTTGTTTTCTTTTTTCGTGTTTTGTGGCTTTTTGCAAAAAAAGTAAGTTTCGGTCCTTTGATTCAATTTGAATTACTCACAATTTGTCAAGAAAAGTTCAAAAATATCGTTTTCAAAAGTTTCCTATTTTTTTGTTTCGATAATTAAAAATGGCGGGAAACTTGGTATTATTTTGGTGTTTCAGTTTTTTGTCATGTTTTTGTTTTCCACGCAAAGTCAGGTGCCACAAATAATCATCGAATAGGGTCGAGTGATATATCCTAATAAAGACCTTTTAGTCGGGATTCGAACGACATTAAAAGTTTTCAGTTTCGAGAAAGATCGATTTGAAAATTTTGTTTGTCTTTTCTAATTTTGAGCAAATAAAGCGAGCGAGAGGCCTTATAATTGGTTTTCCAAAAAATTCGAAAGATCTGCTAAAAAAATTTACATAATTGTGAAAACAATTTTTTCTCGTCATTTTGACGAAAACTGCTGTGTATGCTGCTATTTTTTAAGCAAGAGTGTCGCTGAAATTTTTGGTTTATGGCAATTTTTTTTATCTAACCACGCAGAAAAAAAACGCCACTCAATTGAAAAAAAAATTGAAAGAATTTTTTTTTCAAGAATATGGTCCGAGCATTCTGTGCACGGCTACTGGCTATCGTTGTTTCGATTTCGAGTTTGAAGCTTTCAATTAAAATAGTTGTTTGTAATAAAGCAATAGCAAGTTTAGAGTTTATAGTCACCCGAGTGAGCAGTAGCTCAATATCAAAAGTTGATTGTTTTTAATTCGCTCATTTTTGTTCAAGAGCCAGTTTTTTTAACCAATTTTTGTTGGCAGTACAAAACTTTTGGAAGTTTTTCATTACAGCTTAAATCATGGCTGAAAAGAATCCAAAATGATATATCACTCAACCAGTAGCGTGCCTAGGGGGAGAGCGACCGCCCCTCCTCCCCCCCCCCCTTAATTCTGGTTGCCAAATTTTCCCAAAGGATTCCCCCTTTTGGTATATTTTTACGAGATCCATTATTGGGTGGCCAACATTAAAAATTTTCTAAAGGTGCCTTTGGCGCCGGTATAACTTATTTTTAAGGGGAAGCGCGCGCCGAAAAAAATGAAATCCCCCTTAGAAAGTTTTCTGCGCACGCCACTCGACTCAACTTAGTACGCCGTTGTTTTTTGCCGCCCTTATTTATGCGAAAAAAAAACACTCTTCTTTGGTCAGAACCATAATCAGTCTAGAATCTTCGTACTCAGTACCAGTAGCGGATTTAGGGGGGACGCCCCACGCCCCCTCAGGAATTCGACCCTCTGCCGGCCCAAAGGGTCCTCCCTTTATACTGTTTTGAGATATCCATTTTTGGCTGACTGACCTTAAAAATTTTCTAAAGGGGCCTTATTTTAAGGGGAAGCGCGCGCAGAAAAAAAACGCAATTTTTGTTCAATTTTTTATTTAATTTCTCAATACTTCATTTCAGCCTGTTTTTTTTCAAAAGTTTGCCTGCGGCGCACAAAGTTTGGTAAAATGAGGGTCTTTATAGTGGTTTGGGAGAGCCAGTGGCGGTTTTAGGATTTTTTCAAAGAGGGGGCTCACTTTCTAGCAAAAAGATCAATTATAAATTGAATTTCAATCTTCGATTTTTAACAGCAAAACGATCAATTATAGATTCAGTTTTCACATCCAAGTCACTATGTATATAGCAAAGTGCTAGCGCACTTATTCGCTGCTCTGACATCGTTGCACGAAGGTAGCTTTTGAGTAACTTCAGGGCAGAGAAACTTCGCTCCGCAGTAGCCGTTGACACTGGTATAGTCGCAAAGATGCGGAGCAAAGCATGTATTGAGGGCAGAAAACTGGCAGAGCAACAGTCGATTGCTTCCACTATACTAGTTGGCAGACTTGAAAGTTCCACGTTTTTCCATTGGTTTAACCAACGTTCGAACTCTTCTTCGACTGCTTGCAGGTCTGTATCACCAGGCAGCAACTCCTCATACAGTTGTACTGTCTCTTTGACGTCTTCGAAACAAACGTTGTTAGCTAAAAGCGAATGCGGCAAAAACTGTCAGTTAAAAGAAAGTATTTCTACTCCTTGGTAAGAGAATGTGACGAAACAATACCGATATCTGCAATAAATTCGGGTCTCGGAGGTGTAGATTCTGCTATTTGCGGCTCCTCAGTTGCTGGCACCGCATTGTTGTCCGAAGATGCCGTTCGTTTCGACGCGCACGTGAAAAAACTGGTTATTGAGGTGTTCTTCCGTTTGGACATCATGCAAATCTGAAAAGACAACAGGGCATGAAAACATGAAAATTGGGAAAGAAAACCGAGCAGCAGCAAAACCGCTGCAGCTGAAAAGCCACGCAATTACATGTACGCGATTGCGCGCGATAGCGAACAGCGAATGATTCACGTTTAACCTGCACGCTATGTTGAACGAAACGCGCATTACGTCATTTACGCTTGCTGGAATAAGTAGTCGGAAACGCCAGTTTCCCCGCTTCGCAGTCATATGTTTTTTATTTTTGGTATAATTTTTATTAAAAACCTCAAAGGGTCTCCCCTTTGCTCGTTTTCACTGTTAAAATCCGTAAGGGGGGGGGGGGGGCTCGAGCCCCCCCAGCCCCCCATCTAAAACCGCCACTGGGGAGAGCTCAGAAAATCAATTTGGTCGGCTTTAAAAAAAGGTCGACCAAATTTTCAAACTTTTTTTGAAAATCCGCGCCCTCGAGAAATTCCTAGATCCGCGCCTGCTCAGTATGTATAAAGTTTTTCAAGACAGTTTCCTGTCATTTACTTATATTTTCCTGTCATTTGAAATAAAAGTTTTAGCAGAAAGTTAAGCAAAAAAATAAGCAAGAATAGATCGATATACTTCCCCAATGCGCGCCTAATGTTTGAAACTGAAATTACTCATTAATTGCACTTTTGTATAATATTCCGTTGATTGGCCTGTTTTTCAGTGATTTTAGTCCTCTTTTTCGGAATTGCTGGACCAAGTTAACATCCCCACAAAGCAGTATTTTGGAGTGAATGTTAACCTGGTTCTAAGTGTTTTTTTTTCCAGCCAATTCGAAAATACATGGGATGTTATTTTGATCCGAGTTGCTTTCAGGGACATGTTGATTCCGGAGGAACTGAGACCAAAACAAAGAATAGCAGTGCCCAATGTTTGGGACATGGTGTTTGCAAACAATCAGCGCAACAGCACTGACGACAAAGACGTAAGTTCCGCTTCCGAGTATCTGCATCGACCCCAATTCCTTTCGATTTTAAGCTGTAGCCGAGAGTTTTATTGTTCCGACTTTCGATACGAAAGTAACGGAATATTTGTGCTCGGGGTGGGTTTTTTTCTTCAGACAAATTTCGACTATTTAACTAGCCATTTTTCACGGATTTTTTTTTATCATTCAAAAGATATTGTTGTCCTGAGCTCAAATTTCAAAGATATTTCACCTGTGATTTTTTCGTAAAGTTACGGTAGTTTAAAGACTAGCATTTTGGCCAATTTGGGACAATTAACGCGCGATATATTTCGCGCTATTAACGCGTAAGCAGAGAGATAATCCGTGTTAGAAATTGTTCCAACTTGGTTCAAAATAGCTTACTTGCTATAATTGATTTGTTACAAGGAGCAAGATATATCCTTTTGTACTTTATATGGCATGTGGGGGGAAGATTTTCATTAAAAAAATTTCAGGAAAAAAAACTTTTCATTTTGTTTTTCTTCATTTAATCTTTCCATGTTATTACTGCTCCATAGACCTAAAGAAGCAGTCGGAACATTCAGGGCCTCGCCCTGATACGAGCAGTCTTGTTGTATTTGCACTTGCGAGAGCAAGTGTCGTGTAATCGGGAACTAGACTTTTTTTTCGTAAACAACTTCTCTTGGAAATCTGTAAGAACTTGTTAAGTTGCTTTAATGGTGAACCTTAGCAACTTCGAGGCTCCTTCACACTTAGCCTAGAGGTAACGCTGTTTCCTTTGTACCCTAAAATCGGGGGTTCGAGAACCGGTCGGACCTTGCTTTATTTTTAGCATGTACGAACTTGAAATTTTTTCCGTGAAAAATTGAGTCGTCGGGTTTCAGTTTCCTGCTTATGTTTTGTCGGTTTAGTTATCCCACCGGGAATTTTTTTTGTGCTGTCAGGAATAATTTGTATCGTAGATGCAAGTGTTTTTATTTTTTTATTTGTGAAATTATTAGCCCTGACGTTGTAGATTTCTTTGGTTTTCCTTTTTTTTTTCGCGTAAAAGCTTTATTTGGCCTAAAGATTTTCTGGTAATTTCTGATGTTTTATCGGCTTAGTTGCCTCATTTTGTGTCGCTGAAAGGCAGTAACTGATTAGTTTTTGGTTTGAAAAATTCAGATAACTTGTGTTGAAAGTTTTTAAACCTAATTGCTCAAAAACTTTTTTACAAAAATTTCTTCTGGCATTTTTTGTTTTCGTATCAATGGGCGTCTACCTAGTTGATGTCCGCCTAGCAGTTTTACTGCACATAAACCACTGATTGCTATTCACATTATTCAAAAAAACAGGTGCAAGCGAAGGTGTTGGATAATCATTTGGGTGTCTCTTGACTCCTTTATACGAAAGATTTTCAGCCCTTTTTTGTTTTGCTAGCGTTAAAATTTCAATGTAACTTTTGTTTTTTTTTCGATTGTGAGTAACCAGCCAAAAATTTTTTTCACAAACTATATTAAGCAGCCAAACTTATGTCATGTGGGTGATACTTGCTTGCAATACTTTTGTAATATGCTATAAATTTCTTACATAAACTCTAATTATTAATTGCGTATTTCCGACTGGCCTTTATGATAGCTGATTGACTCTTCGGCTGGGTTATATGCCACCTATTCATCTGTATGTTTGTATGTTGGCGTTTTCGATGGAAAAGAGAGGGTCCACAACGAAAAATAAAACATTTTTAAAAGTCGGGATCAAAAAAGTTTCGTCTACTTTCTCTGCTAAGTTGACGCCTGTTTTCTCACATATATTTTCGATATATTTAGTCGGTTAATCCATTATACGAATGATTTTGTTTTAGGTACCGCCAGAACTGTATGACAGAGCTTGTAAACACTACAATCAAAGAATACTCCGCCTCACATTTAGGTTAGTAGATGTTTGTTTTGATCGACATACGGATTCCAAAATGCGGATTCGTGATTGCCCTTTCGAGTAGGTTCTTGATTCATTTGTATCGGAAAACACTTCTAAAATGTCACTGCGGTAAAAAAAATACATCAAGAAACAACCCGTTGGCGTTTTTGTGGTCATAGTCCACATCATAAGAAGTGTAATTGTGTGAATGCTGCAGTGCAGTGAAGAGTTTCATTGAGATCACGCGACGACTGGAGGAGGAGGAGAAGCGGAAGATGCTGTTAGCCAGGAACTACAACCACGCTCGCATGTGCACTGCCACATTCCGCAACTGGAAGGTAAGCTACTAACCGCCGCCGCCACCATTCACCATGTCACCTCACACCATTTCCCACTACCCTCCCAATTTATACTCATTATTCTAACAGAGAAAAGAGCTCGCTTTGATCAAACATTTTTGAGTCTACTTTTCTACCTGCCCATTTTCTAATAGCTTTTTTGCTCAAAAGAGTGAAGGAATTATTTTAAAATAATTTCGCCTCAATTGTAGTATTTGGATTCCTGTCCTCCCCCTTTCAGTAACGTCAATTTCAGGCCTTAGTTCAAACTAAAGTAAATTCAACTCATCAGCAAGGTGAACGTGTTGAAAAATAATGGTCTGAATGAATTTGAGTTTCTGAATTAGTTTGACGAAATTTGATGGGACGATGAACTTCAAATGAGAACCCTCTGCGGTTATACTACTTTTGTACTTGGCGATTTCCAACATGTTTTTAAAAGCATGATGAATATGAAATTGTTTTCTAGTTAATGTTAAACTTCATTTAAAATGCCAACTGAAGTGGTAATGCATTTGACAAAAAAGAAGAGAAGTCAGTTCGAGTTTTAGATAGGACTATTCTTTTCAAAAATTTCTTTTCGATCGAATTGAAGTTACCTACTTCATTTGCTTAAAATTGCTTTGAATTACTGCCATCGCATTATATATGCTCAATGATATCTTGCTGTTTCGCGTCCACACTGTCACCTAAATCACTCGCCGTAAAAAACGAAAAATGAAAACTAATTATGAAAAACTTACGATTTTTTTCGATAATTTATATATTCTTTTCACTATGAATTTTTGTGCTGGCCTAGTTATATTATGGCTTTTTTCCAAACTACTCACGTGTTTCTTAAACAACAGGCATTAATCTTCTATGACGATTATTCTACAGGATTGAGTTTCGAATAATTAATAGCTGCGGAAAAAGCTAATATATTCTGACAGTCAGTTTTTAGTCAGAAGCAGATTGAGTCGAGGGCCAGTTCGTCCCTCTCACAGCCTGAAAATTACCTTAAGTATTTTTGGTGCTATTTTGCGACATGTGTATCGGGCCGATCAATCCTTAAGATGTTTTAAAGGCATGTTGAATCCTCTCTGTACTAATTTTGAAGGAAAAGATACCGGCCAAAAATTGAAATTTTTGTCTGAAACCCTCCAGTAAATACCCTTTGACATTTTTGTGCCAAATAAATTAATGATAAAGCAGGGTCTTTTTGTGTTACCTAAAACAATCGAAAGTTCAATATCGAATAACCAAAGCTGTCATTGTTTTTAATTTTCTATTCTAGTATCTTCTTTGAATTCTAAAATTCATCTGTGCTTGAAATTAAATTATCAGGTAAATAAATTGTTTTCTCGTGTTTAGACATGGACAAAAGATAGAGTTGGCAGGACAAAAGGTAAGTTGCTGTCCAAATTGAGAGAATGTACTATTCTGTGTAGATTATCTTGCTTCTTAAGGTGAAGTTTTATGGCTTTTCCTGAATAGATCACGTAATAGATTGTAAAAGTTACGTTTTGATGTTGTGATCATTTGCCTTTTGCTCCAGATGCGACTGAGAGGATGCGGGAGGTGTTCTCCAACTACGTGCAGCAAGTCATATTCGACTCCTGGTACTCCAGTGCGGTGGACGCCAAGAAGACCAGAGAGTACTTCCAGGTACATCACACATTGCAATCCATCCTCCTTCTTGCGCCCTCTTTTTTTTATATTTTCTGACCTCTCTTGTACCTTCATTGTAAGTTCAACATAGAGTCAAAACAACGTTCAGAAAACAATGATTTTGAGCTTGTGCCTGAAATGCGACAATAAATGAAGCTCAACAGTATAACAATATAACGCTTAGCACCTACCCTACTTTAATTTTTTTGCTTGGAACTCGATTAACTAAGTTTTGATGAAACGTTTGAAACCTTGGAATAAATTTATTTGAATTGACAAAGGCCAGTGACAGCGAGTGCGGCGAAGAGGCCAAAATGCAATGGACAGAATTTCAGAAGAAAAAAAAGGCTGTTGGACAGAGAAGAAGCGGCAACAGTAAAAGCGCATCTGGCCTGAAACGGCCATTGACGTCTAAATCTAAGCTGGAGTTATGTATTGAAAGGAACCTAGATATAAAAACGATAGCTTCTCTTTCAATCTGAAGCATGCTGACTGTACAGCACAATCTGTTATGTTTAAGAACGGCAGTGTCATCTCTTACTTACAAAGGCAACTTTTTAGCTTTGAAGTTTCTTTTTCTTGCCTGTTTTTATAGCGTATCAGTTTGTAAACGAAATTCTGAACAATTGGTTCTGTGTACCTAAATACAGATATTTTCATTTGATCTGAAGGCTGCTCGTGATTTCTACCTGGAGATGAAGTTATCAGTAGGTTTAATTGTGCCCTTCTGCGTGAAGAGTATTACTGTAGAGTTCTGAGTGGAGTGTCTGTTGGAACATTCATGGCATTACCAAGTGTTTTCTTCCACAGTTTAATACTTTTCGTTTCCAGAGACCCAATTAGTGCATTGGTTTGTATTTTTATCTGTCTATCATTCTTCATTTCTTGATATTTGGAACTATTTAGATGTATGTAGGTTTTGTGTTCATTTGAAAGACCGATCGGATTTTCAATGAAATTTGATTCGTCACAAGAAGTGCTTGTCACAATTCTTGAAATGTCAATGAAGAAGAAGCTGAAGAAACTTGTTTAGGTCGTTATTTTTGCTGTGACTTTCGATTTTTTTAAATTTCAGTTCAAATTCATTTGTTAAAAGGGAGGGAAAATACCTCCTCCGATAACGAAAGTCGCGCGATAAAAAAAATTGATTTGTTGCGAAAGTGAATTTTAATTCATAGGTTTCCAGGGGAACAAAAAGAAGTTACCATTTGATCCAGTTTTCTCGAATTGGGTTAGTTTAATCATAAAAAGTATCATTTATTACCCTTGCGATAAGCAAGGATATTGCAATCGGATACTAGACTTTTTTCCCGTAAATAACTTTAGACACATGACTCACTCCTGGTCCTGGACTCCTTCACCTCTTGTTCCGCGTTTAAAATCGAATCTTCTTTCTCTCTAATGCAAATAATAAGCATATTTTGAGTTTCTAAGTGTTTTAAATATCTCAGCTTTTCGAAATTTGCTTTTTAAGTTGGTTGTAATTTTCCAACTCATTTGTTTAAAATTTTTTGTCCTTTTTTCGGCTTAATAGTTTTCGGTTTATGTTATATCGGCTTAGTGCCCTCATATTGAGCCGTTTAATTGGCAAAATGCCTTTTGTGTGTGCGTGTGTGTTTTGAGGGAGTGATTTTTCTATTTGTTTCAAACGTTTTCAAAAAAAAATTTTCGGATTTTTGTTTTTGTCTTTTTTTTCGACTTGATAGATTTTGGGCCTACTTTTATCGCCTTAGGGTTTTCTGTGTGCGTATGAGTGTTTTGTGTGCGCTTATGTGTGTTTTGAGGGAGAGGGAAACTTGAATTTTTTGTAGCTTAAAAATTTTTTCAAACTTTTTTTTCAACTTGAAGGGTTTCTGCTCAGATATCTTTGGCATTGTTACTGCTGGTTAAGTTTTAATTCGATGCTAAATTTGCATATTTTTGATCCGGCATGTTTTTTTTACTCTATCACTATACATTTTGATAGATCGAGTTGCATGTTTTATTATAGAATTTCCATATTTTTATTTTTTAGCTGATGGTTTTCGGCATTATTGTTGTCGGCTAAGATCTTGGTTTAGTTTCTGAAATATGTATACCACCTTGGATTCAGTACGTTTATGACACTAGTTGATAATATATGGGCAGTACATAGTTTTTTATCAGTTTTGCTTAGCCGAAACATTTCGGTTGAGTCTCAGCGTATCGTCTGCCGGCTTTAATTCTGTCGGCTGAGTTACCATTTATCTTGTTTCTGAACGTTTCCGATTTTATTTATGAAGTAGATAAGACCCTGGCACTAATTTTCTGAATACGTAAATTCAAAACCATTGGGACCTGCTAAAAGGACTTCGTTTTTCTATATCATTTTTTTTTCAAATGTAACATCGTTTTAAGTCCTTTTTGTTAGTTTTTGAGCGTCATGCTGTTTTAACCCGGTAATTGTTTTATTGCAAGTGATGCGAAGCTCAGCTTCGCTTCTCTGTAAAAGATTGTGGTATTTCAAAGAACTTCATAGCAATAATTTTTTTTCTTCAAAAAAAGCAGTGGTTTTCTTCAGTATTTTTGAGTTGGTTGGAATTTTTCCAAAAGTCTGTTGCCCGCACTAGAGTTCCATGGATAATATTTGATTATATTGGAAAAATTTTGTCTCGATTGTTGTCATTATAATCCGTTATTGTTGCAAATTTAGACCTCGAAATCGATTATATTGTCATTATATTCTATATTCTATTATTTCCGTAAAACGCTATCTAATAAAATTCATTAAATGGATTATACTTTTTTTGAAATTAATTGTAATGGATTGTAACTCATTGGCAAAACTTGCAACATATCTGCGTGACTCACAGCCTACTCGCAATCTAAACATACTGAATTTGATATATAAGGCACATTTACTGCTAGGTTACCGCCCCCCCCCCCCCCCCCCCCACGTTTGCCCCAGCCACACCCTCTTCACATTAATGCGCGCAAGAGGAGTTGGTAAAGGCACTGGTGGTAAACACACGGAGGGAACGGAAGTGGGATGTAACCGATGAAATGTAAAGGGGTAAAGGGGTATTTGGGGTGTATCCTTGGGGGATGACGAGTGGATGTACATGTGGGAGGGGGGTCATTTGCTGGGGCGACAAGGGACGGAAAGTGAGTAAATAAAAACGAAAAAAAAATTATGTGAAATTAAAAAAATTTATGAGCCGAAAATTCTGCCAAAAAATTTAAAACAAGACAACTATTTTCTAAGCCAGAGTAAACCTAGTTTTATCTGATGTTACGAGTTTCAGCCCAAAAGCAACAGTTAAATTTTCAATGCTGCACTGTGTTCGTACTGTTATATTTTAGAGTAACTTACGAAAAAAAATTTTAATCCATAATAATTAATTATAATCGATTAGAATGGATTTTTTTGATTTGAAAAAAAATTTAGATTACAGTCCATTGAAAATATTTAGAAGTGAAACAAGTTTTTTTTCAAATTATTGTCCTTTTTTCTGCGTGGTGTGATAAAAACATGTGAGCGAAAAACTAGAAATTAGGCATATTCGACAGTCATAGTAAAATAAACAAACTGGACGACCCTGTTTTTAGAAAAATGTCTAGATTAACATATCAAAAGTTTTTCTATTTTTTTCGCAGTTTTTTGAATTTTCAAAGTTTTTGATTCCGAAAAGTCGGGAAAAAACTCAAAAAGTAATAGGTTTTTTGAACTGAATTTACGTTTTGACTGCTTAAGTTTTGAGCTATTAAAGTTAATTATTGTAGACTTGCGCGATCGCTTTATTTGCTTTACAAATTTTAAACCTGTTTTTTTAATACTGGGACATTTATTTTCCAGTTTTAAATGTTTGAATCACGACTGAAGGGGTTTTAAAACCATATATTACTCTGCCAATTCTGATGATTGTTTGTATCAGCTTATTTTGCGTGCAAAACCAAATAAAAACGAAAACACACCCCCCGAATTCTAAGATCCCCCGATTTTTCAAATGGTCGGAACAACAAGAAGAAGAAAACTGCGTAATCCAGCTTGAACTGCGTAATTTTAGAAGAAAACTGCGTAGTCCAGCTTGAACTGCGTAATCTAAGAAGAAAACTGCGTAATCCAGCTTGAACTGCGTAATTCAATAAGAAAACTGCGTAATCCAGCTTGAATTGCGTAACTCTAGAAGAAAACTGCATAATGCAGCTTGAACTGCGTAATCCAGCTTGAACTGCGTAATTCAAGAAGAAAACTGTGTAATCCAGCTTGAATTGCGTAGTTCAAGAAGAAAACTGCGTAATCCAGCTTGAACTGCGTAATCCTAGACGAAAACTGCGTATCCAGCTTGAAGCTTAAACTGCGTAATCCAAGAAGAAAACTGCGTAATCCAGCTTGAACTGCGTAATCCAAGAAGAAAACTGCGTAATCCAGCTTGAACTGCGTAATCCAAGAAGAAAACTGCGTAATCCAGCTTGAACTGCGTAATCCAAGAAAAAAACTGCGTAATCCAGCTTGAACTGCGTAATCCAAGAAGAAAACTGCGTAATCCAGCTTGAACTGCATAATTCAAGAAGAAAACTGCGTAATCCAGCTTGAACTGCGTAATCCAAGACGAAAACTGCGTAATCCAGCTTGAACTGCGTAATCCAAGAAGAAAACTGCGTAATCCAGCTTGAACTGCGTAATTCAAGAAGAAAACTGCGTAATCCAGCTTGAATTGCGTAACTCTAGAAGAAAACTGCATAATGCAGCTTGAACTGCGTAATCCAGCTTGAACTGCGTAATTCAAGAAGAAAACTGCGTAATCCAGCTTGAACTGCGTAATCCAAGAAGAAAACTGCGTAATCCAGCTTGAACTGCGTAATTCAAGAAGAAAACTGCGTAATCCAGCTTGAATTGCGTAACTCTAGAAGAAAACTGCATAATGCAGCTTGAACTGTGTAATCCAGCTTGAATTGCGTAGTTCAAGAAGAAAACTGCGTAATCCAGCTTGAACTGCGTATTCCTAGACGAAAACTGCGTATCCAGCTTGAAGCTTGAACTGCGTAATCCAAGAAGAAAACTGCGTAATCCAGCTTGAACTGCGTAATCCAAGAAGAAAACTGCGTAATCCAGCTTGAACTGCGTAATCCAAGAAGAAAACTGCGTAATCCAGCTTGAACTGCGTAATCCAAGAATAAAACTGCGTAATCCAGCTTGAACTGCGTAATCCAAGAAGAAAACTGCGTAATCCAGCTTGAACTGCATAATTCAAGAAGAAAACTGCGTAATCCAGCTTGAACTGCGTAATCCAAGAAGAAAACTGCGTAATCCAGCTTGAACTGCGTAATCCAAGAAGAAAACTGCGTAATCCAGCTTGAACTGCGTAATTCAAGAAGAAAACTGCGTAATCCAGCTTGAATTGCGTAACTCTAGAAGAAAACTGCATAATGCAGCTTGAACTGCGTAATCCAGCTTGAACTGCGTAATTCAAGAAGAAAACTGCGTAATCCAGCTTGAACTGCGTAATCCAAGAAAAAAACTGCGTAATCCAGCTTGAACTGCGTAATTCAAGAAGAAAACTGCGTAATCCAGCTTGAACTGCGTAATCCAAGAAGAAAACGGCGTAATCCAGCAATTTTTTTAGGATTTTTTTACCGGCCGGTTATTTGTGTACGCTTCATTGTCGTTGGGTTTCGTAGATAGGTGCAGCTAAAAACATGAGCAGCTAATTACTTGTAGTAGACTTTAGTTGCACCACCTTTTTATTACAATTTAGGGTTAATTTTGGGCAAAAATTGAAGCATATCATTTGTAAAACGCAAAATATATCATTTGTAACGCACATAGCGTGTGTAGGGATAAAGTGTAAAAACCAGACTGAAATCAAAATTTAAAAATCAAGAATCAAATTTTTCACCAATTATTTTAATCAAAAACCTTTTTGTCGACGCTAAACGTCAGTCGGAATAAAAAGGGCTTCGCCCTGATAGGAGAACTCTTGCTTACCTTTGTATCTCCTCTGTGATTTAATTTACTTTGGCCAATTTTCTGAAGCTTTATTCTTAATAAAACTTTGTTGGTCAAATAAAAAAACTCATTTGATATGTTAAGTTTGAAAATATTGGACTTGTTTTTGCGAATTTTCAAATCATCATCAAATTGATCAAAAAAACTTTCTAGAAAGAACTTTTGGTCCAGCATTTGCAGAATTTGTACAGGTATTTAAAATCAGCACTATATTTATATGTTAACTTGCCGTGTGATCTGCTTGATTTGTCTGTTCATCAGTTTAGTCTGTTCAGAGATTAGAAAGCGGAGACAAGGCGCAACAGCAGGGGGGAACTAATCGGGACGAGGATGTGGCTGGGGTGGAGGATTTGCATGCAGAGGGCGAGGACAGAGTCTCTCGTCTGCCAGTTGAGGTGGCTGCCCATATCTTCACCTCCCTCTCCCTCCAAGACATGGCCCAATGTGCTCTCGTCTGCAGGTCATGGAAGGTCATCATTCAATCCAGTCCCCTCTGGAACAAGGTAAATAACTACTATGCAATAACTACTATTGTCTGGATATAGTTGCACCTTCTCAGCTAGCTATGTTGTGCTTGACATGTCAATATACAATCAAGGCATAAAATTATTGCAACCTCTAGTTTTCGACCGACAAAATGAACGAAGTTGTTTGCACGTTTTGGTCGTTTTCTCAGCAACTATATAAATATCCGGTTAATATTTTGAACCATGACCATGAAAATTTGCCAAATTGAAAGGATCTGGACAAACGAAAGCTTAACCGCATTGAAATGATGAAACTGGCGGAATTAAAAGGATCTGGCCGAACGAAAACTTGAATAATTCGGTTTTGGAGCCGTTGGTTAACCAGTCAATCATAATTCGTTTCAGAGATGAACTGGGGGAAAAGTTCTCGAAAAAAAAAACAAATTTATTGGAATTTGTGGACTTAAAGTTCTTTGGGAAGCCTACGAACTTAGTTTTGTCCTTATATTGCGTAAAAGCAACGGATATAGGAAATGCACGAGTTACTAAGCCCAGTATCCAAAAATGAAGACGACTAATTTCGACGATTATGAAGTTTTCATGTCCTAGTCGCTAATGCCAGTCGAATAAATAATCGTTGTTGATAGTTTTTTTATGCATCAGCAGGGCTAATTGACTCCACCGGGGACCTTAATTCGAAAATTAACTCCAATTCTGATTTTTTAAATCTAAGTCTTTCAAAAAAACTGGTTGAATTGTTTGCGACTTAGTTGTTTGTATTTTTTGCTGAATTGTCTGAATTTCAAATTGGCCTAATTGTCTTTGCCCTAGCTGTCTGTGCGCCATCAAAAGATATATCTTCCCAAAGTACATTTTTGAGACCACAAATACCTCGAGGAGTTTTTCCACGACAAGAACACCTCTGTGTCCATTTTCTTCAAGTTTTCATTTAGCCAAATCCTTTGAATTAGTTTCATCGGCCATGTGTCAAAGTTTCAACCAAATATCTTATAAGGTTTCTAAAAAACGACAAAAAACGTTCTGAAATTTGTGTTCATTTTGTTGCCCGAAAATTAGAAGTTTAAATAATTTTGAACCTTCACTTTAGTACGCGCAAATCAGTGCTTAGCTTATAAGTTTTAATAAGTTTCATTGTTTCAGGTTGACCTCAGTCCTTTTGGACCCAGGTGCGTTGCTTCAGAATTCCTTCATTGCAATAAAATCGTAGGCTTTTCTACCGATTAGGCTTTCCTACCGATTAGGCTTTCCTACCCGTTCAATAAAATTGTAGGCATTCCTACCTGTTCTGACGAATTTAACAGTTAAATTATACTTTCTCAATCATCAAAATGTTTGTGTAGTCTATAATTTATCATTAGGAACTACCATGGTTTTTGCTTTCAAACGGCAGGTTTATTATCGCAGGGCTCATGGTTTCAAAGGAAGTGGTTTTGTTTCGCAACGTTTTTAATTATTGCATTAAGAAATGTTTCACCAGGTTCATAAATTACCGTCCTATTTACTTTTCCTTTTTAGTTTGAGTGACAAGAAACTCATCAATGTGCTCACTATTGGGAGGCCTTTTGTGGTGCACTTGAATCTCCAAGGCTGCAATTGTTTGAGCAGTGACGGGTTTGGATTCATCGGTGAGCTGACTACTTAGGTCAAACGAGACCGAAGCTAAACATTGAGTTGTTTCCTACTCTTAAATTTCTTTAAATATGTATCTTATAGTACATCGCCTGTTCGTTTCAGCACAATGTCGTAATCTTCAGGATGTGAACTTTTCCTTCACAAACGTTACAGTATGTATCTTTTTAGAACATTTTGCTCCTTTTAGTTATCCGGGTGGTGGGGAGAGATTTTACGCCACTTGGAATTCAAAAATTACTGATTTTTTTTTGCTGTGAACTGCTGCATTCTCAAATTGACTACACCGTTCAACCCGAGAAAATGGTTACAGAGAATTTAAAATGCGGGTAAAAACCTTGCATTTTTAAAATTTTCATTTAACGTTGAACTTACTCAAATTACCAAGAAAAATTGATAAAAAAGTTTAGTTTTGATTTTAAAAAACAAATTTGAGTGCAGCTTTTCAAATAAAACACAAATACACTGTTCAGATTAGGCTTGTTTCTTTATCTTGTCAGTTCCGTTTGTAAGTGATGATGTCTGCAATTAACGTTTTCACCGTAAATTATGACACCTATGAAGACGTGAGTTTTTCTTCCGATCAGCCGCCAAGCGTCTAAAGGAAATACAATGCAGGGTGGGCTCTTGCGGTCCGATATCAGTTACATCAACAAACATTTTTGGGCGGATTAATTTTGGTCTCATGTTAAAGTCCTTTTTCCTTATTTGGCTTCCAAAAAAGTTAATATGTTGTCTCAGGGTCGAGAGAAACTTTTGTTTTTCAGACTAATTGATGCAAAGTTTAACATTAGTTACATCAACAAACATTTTTTTGCTATTTATTACGGCAAGCTTACTGAAAGAAAATGAAATGAAAGACACAGTAAACAAAGCAGTGCGAAAAACAGCTGCCAAAAATTTCATACGATTGTTTTGAGTGGAATGCAATTTGAGGTAGGCATGTCGAGAAAATCAATACTTAGACGTTCGTTGAGCCCAAAAACTTTTTTCATACTAATTGATGCAAAGCTTGACATAGTTACATCAACAAACATCAAAATACAGCTGCCAGAAGTTTCAGACTAATAGATGAAAAGTTTGACATAGTTACATCAACAAACACCAAAAAACAGCTGCTAAAAACAGCTTGTTTTGAGTCGAATTCAATTTGAGGTGGGCATATCGAGAAAAACAATACTTGGTAGACGTTGGTTAAGCCCAAAAAAAATTAAAAATTGAGCTTTAAAAATTTGTATTCGGGTGTGTTTTATGCTCTGTTTTCCATGCAAAATCAGGTACCATAAAAATCATTGGAATAGGTCGTAATAAATTCCTTGCAGCCGTGATTCGAACGACATGAAAAAATTTGTTTAAAAAATTCTCAATATTAAGAAAAACCAGTTAGATGTTTTTACACAAGCAAAGCTTGTGTTATACTATGAACTTTCTTTTGTTTCCAAACTAAGTGGCAAATATTGTCGTGACGCAAATATTGTTGCGACAAAATGTGTTCATTTTGAAAGTGTTCATTTTGATCAATCACCAGCTATTAAGTACAGCCAATGCTGAGGATATTAACACAGACTTTTGTATTACAAATAGAACTTAAGCTTCAAGGTATCATGGATCTGTAGTGTAGAGGTAGGGAAGGACACTCGCAAAAAATAAAAGGGTTCGAACCTGGGCAGGGTCGGATGTTTTTAATTAACTTTTTCGTATGCTAGTTAAAATGCGTCCGCTCTCTAAATTGAGGCAAGTTAGTTGGTAAATTTCTTTTTTCAAATTGGCTGGCACTTCGAATGCGTCATAATGGGCGTGGGTACCTTAAAAAAATTTGTAGACTCAAAGCTTCACTCATTCTGTTTTCCCAGAAGCCTTATCGGTCTTATTTTTGCTTGTGTATGCGAAGTGCACCTTCGCCTCTGTGTTGATTTTTGGTCTAATTTCGAGCTAATAAGGTGAGTGTGCAAGCTTACAAGTTATGCTTAATGTGTAAGTATGCAGCTTATTTTTTTATTTGATTTTTTGTTTTTCTAAAAAAAACTGTATTCCAATCAGCCTTTTTTACTACGTTTGTCTACACTTGCAAAGCTAGTGTATTAGTACGAACCTTCGTTTTTCCCAACCTGAGTCGCAAACATTGGTGCGGCACCCCAATAATGGTGAGGCACCTTTAAAGTTGTTTGATAGCATGTGCTTTGACATTCGAATAGTGATAATTAACACAGTTGATGCATTTTTATTTCATCAAATGAACCGAAAAAAAACTATTTGTTTCTAGCAACATCACAATATTAAAAACTCGATTTCAGAAATTTTCTAACTCAATATATCTCGCAGTTTTTTGAAATGCAGAATTTATACATTATCTGGTTTTATGCTGGGCAATTTGTAGCATGCAAAGTTAGTGTGGATGCCTTCACTTTGTTATATTCCAAATTATTAATTACAAAATTGAGTCTGTTTGTATTTAGTGCTGAATCGCATTGGCAATTTGTTAGCATATGTAGCTGCTTTATTCGTGACCATTATTTGTGAGTTGTTAAGCTTGAGTGGCTGAGTAGATAGTGCGTGTGACTCAAAATCTCTTGATTGCAGTAGGTCGCAGATTCTAATCCTACATGTAGACGAGTTTTTTGCTAATTGGAGGCTTATTTCTACTTTTTTTCTAACTTGATAGCGCAGCTTTTTGGTCGTGGTCTCGCTAATCTTTGCGATGCGCAGCTTCCCCTCTGTGTTAATTTTCCTTTTAAAAAGTTATTCAAATTAGTTTCAAGTATTTAACAAGGAAAAAAGGGCGGCGAGGTATGTTAAACTAAAATTTTTCAGCGTTAATTTAAAAAAGCCTCACGGCTGTTTCAGTTATTCGTTAATTGAAGTTATTTTGAATATTTCGAAAAAAGAATTTAAAGTCAATTTGCGTACTTTGAGATTTTATTGGCTGAGCAAATACAAAACTGAAATTTAGGTTTAGCTTAAAACCTCAAATATATACAAAGTGTATTTATTTAAAACAGTTCTGAAGAAAAATTTGACTCTTTTTTTTGTTATGCAGTGCTGATTTAAATTAACCGGACAAAACGAACAAATCGAATTGGGTTAAGATTAGACAAAAAGTGAAGAGAATAAAAGTTGACTAGAATTTCAGCAGAATTAATATAGTGCATTCTCTTTCTAAACTCTCAACCTAAATTTTACCCCAAAAATAGGTCATTTTGGCTTACGCTGAAACTACTTTGTTAAATGATGAAATATATATCACAAGGATCCTCTTACACACCCCAACAAAATTCTAGAAGGGTTGTATCTTCAAAAACCTGTATAAGAGAAAATATTTTTCCTTGATAGTCAAGAAATGAGATTTTTACTATATAAAACCCAAAATTTTTGCTTAAAAACAGTTTTCAAACAATTTACTCAAATTTTTGGAGATTTAACCTTTCTGAAACTTTGTTGGGTTCTTTGTTGGTTGTGTAAGAGGCTTCTTGTTATATATATTTCTCATCATCCAACAGAGTAAAAATTTGGTTGGAAATTTTGGAGAAAAAATTGCACCATATTAATTCTGACGAAATTCTAGGCTATTTTTGTTCTCTTTGCTTTTTGTCCAATCTTAGCCCAATTTGAGAAAAAGTTGTTTGACAATTCTGGTTTGTTCATTTTGTCCGGATAATTTAAATCAGCACTGTAATATCTCTCCAGTCTAAGTTCATATTTTAGGTAGTATATAACTTTTGGTAGTACGCATGGGGAAGGTTAATATTGGAATAAGCCGAAGTAATTCGATTGCCAGGCAATAGTTGAAGCAATGTTACGAATATTGATTTGAAAAACTTAGCTCAGAACGTTTCAGTTTGTGTTTGAAAACAATCACTGATTCGCATAGAGTTACTTGTCGTTTTTTACTTTCATTTTGGGCAACCCTATCATTAATTAATTCTCTATTACTGGTCAAGAAATTGACTTGTAAGGTGATTACACCATTACAACCACATTTTGTTAGAGGACTGTTGAAATGACAGAAAATAATGACTGATCGGCTCTTTGTAAGATTGTTTTGATTGTTGAAATGAAAAATATTGAAAAGAAAGTTGCAAAAATGATGTTTTTGGGTAAGTTTCAGTGCTATTTACGACAACGGTGTTTAAACTTGCGTTTTTAGCTCAGTTATTATTTAGATGGTTTCATTTAGGACGAGGCAATAGAAGATATAGGCTTTAGCAGTGGCTCTCAGATGCTCTATTTGAACATTGCGAACAGCAAAATCAGCGATAAGGCACTCCGATCCATAAGCAGGTAGCTTTTTACTCTCCAAGTTTTTTTGTCACACAACTCATGGAAAAAAAAACATTTATCTCGGATTTTAATTTTGAAATTACGCAATTTTTGTTTAGAAATATTTCACTAATAATTTTTCTTTTTATTTTCAGGAATAGATTTGTAAGGATCCAACCAAGGTCAAAAACAAACGTTAAGAAAACTTAAACGCGCAAATTACTGTATATAATTAAATTTCAAAGTTAATAGCTGAAAAAAAACTATTTAAAGTCATAAAATAATGTCCAAGCAAACTATAAACAAATTTTTCAACAAAACTTGAAAACTTTTAAAACATCTTGAAAAACTAGTAGAAAAAAAATAAAATACCTCAGCATATTTTGATTCTTAAAGATTCAAATCTTTGTATAGAATTGTTTTTAAGCAAGTGTCTTGTGCTCAGGAAATAAACTTTTTCCCGTAAACAAAACTTTTCTTTCTTATTCTTCTCTTCTTTAATCTCTTCTATACATTTTCTTTCTGTATTATTGAACTTTTTTAACTTCCAGGTTTCTTCTCACGCCATAGCTTTCTTACCCTAAATTTTTTAGTTTGAGTCTCGGTTGGACCTTGTTGTTTTTTTTTTCAGTTTGTATGCAATTGAAAAAAATTTTGGGTTAAATTTGTATGGTCGGATTTTCATTTATCTGCGCAATTTTTGTCGGCTGCCACATCACGGATTTAGCTTGTTTTAAGTAATTTTTATTTTAGTTGCAATTGGAAGTGTGTTCATTCTAATTTCAGGCGGGAATTGAAGACATTTTGATTTTTTTCTATTAAATCAAATTTTTTTGGCTCAACTTGTGTCTGCTCAAAATTTATCACTTGATTGCCAATTCTAGTTATATGAAATTTTTAGAAGACAATTATTTTTAACTAATCGGCAGCCGTTAAAGTCTAAAAGGTTCCCAAACAATTTAGCACCGTACAGTTTAACTCCCTGACGTGTAATTTCACTTTTTAAAACCACTACACTTTAAAGCCAATTCTATCACTTAACACCGTTTTAATCCAAATTGATCTGAAAACGTACCTCACGTGGCAAGTCGTTAACATTTAAGAATGAAACAGAAAAATTTTTGCAATTTAAAACCAGACAAATTTGCGCTACTTAAAAAGTCGTTTGCAAGTGGTTTAATGGCCACTCAAGAACTTGACTCTGTTTGTATTTTTCTATTTCTTGGATTATCCCAAATATTTTTCTATTGAGTAAAGATATGAACTATCATCTTCAGGCATTAATTTCAGAGCGAAATTTAAAGAAGATTTTAGGATTGAAATGTCCACACCCTGGTTTTATAGATTGCACTCTTTAAATCAGATTTAGCTGGTAGTTCTCTGAGAATAGTGACGAAATTTCGAATTAAAAAACGATAAACATTTAAAAAGAAATTTTCCAAAGTCCAAATCAGCTTTTCTACAAAAAAAGGGAAAAAAATTGCTTGGGGAAACTTTGAGCAGCATGTTGATTTTAATGAGCTATCAACCTCAGAATAAGCAGGTCGATTTTTGAAAATAAAAAAATAAGTTTTCACAATTGGACGTTTTCCAAGGCCATAATTTTTTTCAAACGCAGGGAATAGCTGCTTGCACAGGTAATTGACTCATAATTGACTTTTTGGCTTAATCTCCGATTTGGCAGGGTAGTTTTTTCAGAAATGAAAAAATGTTTATGAAATTTACCAACATGTCAACAATGGGCTTGTGTTAAGGCCATAACTTTTTTCTAACGGATTTAGGGAAAAGCCACTTGAGAAGGAAAGATCTCCATAATTTTTTTGTTTGATTGAAACATTCATATCAAATTTGCATTTCAAGTTTGGGAAAATGAAAACAATCAAAACAAATAAACCAAAAATCCTCCTACTGAAGCTTTCGAAGGCCGTAGAACGTGAGGTAACATCGAAAAATAGATCAGCGAAATATGCAAGCACATAGAGGAGCAGCCGTTTTTCCCATTGCTATAATTTTTGAAAATGTGTTTGGTAGGTTATAGGAAAAATTGAAATTTCTGCGAAAAAGATAAACATTTTCCAGTGTCGCAAAAAAAAACGGAAAACAGCAAGCCCCATAAACAAAACCTAACACTAGCCAAAATAAAGCAGCAACATATGCCATTAAATTGTTTATTCTTATATAAGCTTAAATATGATTAAGATGAAATATATCAGAAGTGCCACCAAATGAGCACTTTTGTTTGGGACTTAGGATGAAAAAAATCTTCGTATTGATACACTACGCTTTGCTTGTGTAAGTAGGAATAATTTCACTATGGAGCTTTAGCGATCGTAGTGTATTAGCATGAGCTTACTTTTTCCCCACCTTACTCGCAATTAAAAGGGATCATTTGGTGGCGCTTTTGCTATAATTACGATGTGTAGCAATGCTAATTCCCTAGCATCTGTATCTGCCTTATATGTGGCTTAGTTTTTAGGAGAGTTAAGCGTCCGTGGCCAAGTTGTTGGGACGTGAGACTCTCAATCTCAAGGTCGTTGGTTCGAATTCGTCGCGGAGCAAAAGTTTACTAATTTGAGGTTTGATTACTTTTTCTAATTTCATTTTATATAGCTACTTTTTGTCGTTTTCTTGCTAAAGTTTGCCAAGCGGAGCTTTACCTCCATCTAATTTGCCGCTTACGCTATTATTGAACAAAATGTTTGGCGTGTAACAAATTCAATCCGCGATAACTTTAAACAAATGACCACATGTGATTTTGGTTTTAGTTTTGGACATCAATATCTCTCACGTGGTATAAACAAAAACTCTGCCATAAGTCTGTAACAAATTCAATCCGCGATAACTGTAAACAAACGACCACATGTGATTTTGTTTTAGTTTTGGACATCAATATCTCTCACGTGGTATAAACAAAAACTCTGCCATAAGTGGCTGGCTTAAAATTCAAAGTTTGTCTGAAAAAAGTCACGAGAGTGTTTGCTGCTAGCTTCTTTACACGAGCAATGCTTGTGTTATAGTATGAACTATTTTTTTCCAACCTAAATCGCAAATATTTTGAAAGAGTTCATTTTGATCAATAACAAATTATTAAGTACAGCCAATGCTAAGGATTTTAACACAGGCTGTTATTGTTTCGACTTACGCAACGAAACTAACGGAATATTTGTGCTCGGGGTGGTTGTTTTCAGACAAGTTTTGACTTTTTAACTGGATTTTGTATATCATTCAAAAAGTATCGTTGTCCTGATCTTAAATTTGGAAAGATATTTTAGCTGTGGTCATTTTTCGTAAAGTTATGGGGGTTTAAAAATTGCAATTTGGCCCAATTAACGCGCTATATTTCGCGCTACTAACGCGTAGGCGGAGATTTAATTGTCAATGAAATCGTTCCAAATTGGTTGGGGAAGTTTATTTGTCATAACTGATTTGTTACTAGGAGCGAAATTTATCACTTCGTACTTAATATGGCGTGTGGGGGATGATGATTTTCACAAAAAACTCAAGTTAAAAAAAAATCATTTCTTAATACATTTAATTTTTTCATGTTATTACTGCTCCATAGACTGCTCTATAAATTGAGGCATGTTAGTTCTGGATAATTTTTTTTTCAAATTGACTAGTACTGCTAATGCGTCATAATTGGCGTGCGTCACTTATGAAGTTTTTATAGACTCAAAGTTTTACTCATGCAGTTTTTCCCAGTATCGTTATCGGTCATACTTTTGCTTGTGTATGCGAAGTGCAACTTCGGCTTTGTTTATTATTCTGTTTTTGTAAACGATCAGTTTTGTTGATAAACCATGAGATAATTGTCTCATTTATGGAAATTTAACCCTCCTGATTGAGCGCTTTTTTCGACTCTGTATAAATTATGCTTCAGTTGTTTTACGCTGATCTGCTAACAAAAACAAGTTATGTAAGGCAAGGCTTTTTTCACTCCTACCACCCCCTTCCCACATTCGAATTTCAGTTTTCAAAGCTATATTTACGTTACCTTAATGTAATGAAACTTTGGATGGTGATCAAACTGACTATTTTGAACACATTCCTGCTTCATACCTTAAATTGTAAGATCACGCATTCAGCCATGATATAATATAAGACTACTAAAATATGGAAAGTTTGGGGGGAGTAGAAAAGAGGCACTATTTATGCTTGGTCCCCTGAAGATTGGTCCCCTGAAGTTAGTTTTCCAACAGGCGGTCTCTCAATCTTCATAAGGGACTCTTTTTTCTGTAGTTTTATGCCCCACCTGCAGTACTTGAATGTGGGCTACTGTCCCCTGGTGACCGACAAGGGACTCTACCACCTCTCCAAGGGCAGATTATCCACCCAGTTCAGACATCTGGACCTGTCTGCTACCCTCAACGTCAGTCTCTCTCACCCTTACCCAATTACATTTTCAATGCCTTTTTCAGTTCGACAATTATTACTTGTTAGATTAGATTTGAAATTACATCTTGCTCCTGGTTTTAGATCAGTGCCGCTGCCTACAAATATGTTGGGTCTTCTTTTGTTAACCTCAGGTCTTTTTACTGCAACAACAACCGCAACATCGACAACCAAGCTTTGCAAGTCAGTTCGCTATTCCGATATCGGTTCTCGCCTTGTTTTAATTTCAATCATCAAATGAAATCATTTTGAGAGCTTTTGAAATACAAAGCAAAATATTATTTTGCACACGAACGTTTGTATTTAGGCTTTGGGAATGCGCTGCATAATAAAATTTGCTATAAACTGGTTACTTAAAAGAAATCAATGCGGTCGTGATTATTTCAGCTGGTGGTGAAGGGGTGCCGTAAGCTGCGCTCTGTCAGTCTGCGAATGTGTCCCGCACTGAGTGATGAGTCACTCGTCCAGCTTTCTACGCTCTCTTTCCTCACTTGGCTCCGATTGGAAGGTCAGTTCAGATTTAAGAGTAATCAGAAGAGAAATTTTAGATCAAAGTCGAATGTCGAAATTTGAATACAGAAATTTTACGACAATCTCGAATTTTCTTTTTGTTCCGACTTTCGAAGAAAACGGAATAATTACTCTTGGGCCGGTTTTGTTTATTCAGTCAATTTTCGGCTTGCAAATTTGAGGGGAGTTCTTTCTCTATCATCTGAAATATATTGTTATTCGGAGCTCAAATATTAATCAAATTTCCCTTGCAATTATTTTTTTAAGTAATAAGGGGTTTGAAAATTTGTAATTTGGCCAATTTGCGATAATTAACGCGCGATATATTGCGTTCTGATAACACGCGTAAGCGGCGTTTATTGATTTCCAAATTCAATTGAGACAAACCGTTTGGTCTTATTTCGAGGACAGACGCTAACTGCATTCTTTTTGTAGCTCAGTTTAGCGTCTGGCGGAATACATTGAAGGAAAAACTGAAAAAATGAAAAACTTTTTTTGTTTTTATTTTGTCAGAATTTCAACCAAAAATTTTTTTTACCTTACAGATCAGTCGGAACATTCAGGGCTTCGCCCTGATATACAAGCAGTCTTGTTATCTAGAAAATTTTTGCTTGACTGCTGTTTATTTTGTAGTCAGGAATTGGCCTAGAAAATAAGAAAAGGTGAATTTAAGAAAATAAGCGTCTTTCGAGAAATTGTCAGATCAATATATTATAACTAATTGGATTGCCTCAATTTTATATCATCTTGAGTGCAAATTAGCGTGATCTCTCAAAAAGAAATTCAGTTGTTCATTACCCTTGCATAAAGAAAGGGTGTTGCAACCGCGTACTAGACTTTTTTCCTATGAATACCGTTGTTCTCAGAATTCGCACTTGAAAATATTACACCAAGTGTTTCAAATTTCTACACAATAAATTGAAATTCAATGAATCATCCAGCGCGTATTGCATAATGTTAACGTACCTGCTTGAGACGACAACGGCTTGTCGTTAGAATTTGAGCGGTACCTGTTTTTTCAAAATAGGAAAATTCTGCTTTTTCAGACTAACATTTGTTTTTGGTCGACTTAGTTCCCATAGCCCGACTCTTTTTATGATGCCGTTTTAAAGCCCCATTTTTGGAGGTAATGTAGTTATAAGACTTGCTGAGGAATTTTTATCATTTTATATTGAACAATTTTTAATACTCTAGAAAAAAAATTAATTTTTTTTTTCGTAAAGTTTCTGATGATGCAAGTATTTTTCTTCCAGTTGATTTCCGCTGTTTCTAATTTTTTGAAAAAATTTTCCGTTTTTTGACAAAAAGATTTTTGACGTTTTTTTTTTCATTTTTTTATTCGCTTTCAACTTAGTCTTTTTTGTAGCGCAAATGGTGCAAAGCGCAGCTCCGCCTCTGTGTTAGTTATTGTTCCGACCAGGAACTTTGTGTTTGGTTGTGATTTCATTTTTTTGAACTTCAAATGTAATTCGAACGACATTTTCAAAAGTTGTCGAAAATTGTCCCATTGTCGAGAAAAACTGGTATAAAATTTTTAGTTTTTGTTCAATTTCAAGCGAGCAGGCTTATTATAGAAGGATAAGTCGTGAAATTTTAATTCCAGCTCTAAAAATTTAATTTTAATGCAATGAAATTAGTTTGTGCAGTTTTTATTGCTATTTTGGTATTAAAAGCTTTTAAAAGATCAAAAAAAAATGCAGCAAAAAAATTTAAATAAATTTTTAATGATTTTTTTCAGTCATTTTTCGACAAAAGTTTTCCTACCACACACAAAAAACGACACTAGCTTCATAAAATCACACCAAAGTGGGACCTTTTGGTTGGTCAGGGAGGAGCGTTCCACTGCTGTGGTGCAATACCCTTTCTAATCACTCGGAGTAACAAATTTTTGGACCCTTTTCTCGTCATCTATAGAATTTTTCTTTTGCGTTTCCATTTACGGTTGAAATATTTCTGACATGCTACCCAAATCTGTTTCATCGGACATTTTGTTAGAGTAATGAAAAAATTTGCAGAGAACAGTCGTGTGTCGGACAAAACCCTCTCGGCCATAGGAGACAGATGCAGCTCCATTCGCCATCTGTACGTGACAGACTGTGCTAGAATCACAGAAATTTCGATGAGGTCATTTGCCCTGCACAGGAGTCTGGTTGTGATCAACTTAGCCGACTGTATCAGGTGGGGTCAGCCTCAAACTCAAATATCAGCCGACATTGGTCCGACATTTAATGGTTCCCCTAGATGAAAACTGTTTTTTTTTAGATCCGATCCCTGATATTTTATTCAACCTCTGACTTGCACTGAGGTTGTTGGTTAATTGATAATTAGTTTTGCCCGAAGCTTTTAAATTTCGCTAGTTGATTGGGGAGGGTTCTCATGCTTGAGGGACCGATTGCTTGAAAAATTTCAACCAATCAAAATCGCTATGCGTTCCTATTGGCTAAATGCCTTTCTCACAAAATCCAAGTCAATATTAACAGAAAACGTATTAAATCAGTAGAAAATGATCAAAAATTTTACAAATTGCGGGTTACAACCGCAATACTATTCAGATAAACATCAAGATATATGAGTTCAAGTTCATAAGAATTTTTCAGTCTTGAAAATTCATCTGCTTATTATCTATCTAATCGGTCAATATTAACACTAAAATGGCCTGGATTTATTTTCTTACTTTGAAATTTTCGGGATTTACTTTGAGATTTTGAATACTCAGTTCTGATTGGCTGAAAATAAGCTAAAAATTAATTTCAAGCCATCGGTCCCTCAAGCATGAGGGACGCCACCTAGTTGATTGGCTTGTTATTTTGCAGTATATAACAGTTTTTAAAGATGATTAATATCGTATGGGGGATAGCAGCTTAGATCTATTGTATAGCAGCTATCTAGCAGCTTAGCTCTATTATAGCTTGGCAGCTTAGCTTTTTATAGCAGCCTAACTCTATTGTATGTTAACAGGATAAGTGATACTGCAGTACGTGCACTAGTGGAGGGTGCGAGTGGACCGATAGTGCGTGAACTGAATCTGACCAACTGCATCCGAGTCACAGACGCGTCCATCCTCAGGATCTCGCAGAGGTTCACATCACTCATGCCCCCATTGTATTTTTAACACCTAACTATACTACAACTAGAGCATGTATGTTTCCTCAAGCGTGCAGCTTTATGTAATGCTTAACATCATTTTCGAAAAAGGTAAAACGAATGCTACTAAATGTATGAGGTTTTACAAAAACACTTGTGACCATATAATATGCATTCAAAACTTCAGTTTGCGATTATTTTAAGCTGCTATTTTTTTTTCAGATGCACCTCCCTGCGCTATCTGAGTTTGTGTCACCTGGAACTGCTGACTGAGGCCAGCATGGATTTCATATCCCATATCAAGACACTCCACTCTCTCGACGTCACAGGCTGCAATGTACAAGACGGGGCAAGTGGATTCAGTACTCCCACATTGAAGTGCAAAAAAAAGACACTTTACAGCTCCAAAGTCTTTAATTGTTTGGTTATTGTGATTAATCACTCTGCTGATTCTTGACGTAAATCTGAAACCAGCGGCTCATTTAAATGGAAGAGTTTTGATACCTGACCACCCCTCTGGCTCTACTGTGCTCGTTACACTAGCGAATTTGCAAGCGTTAGTGTATTAGTACAAACCTAATTTTTTTCTAGCCTAACTCTCAAATAAAATTGTTTACACTAGCGTCAGCTTAGTGTGTTATTATGAACCTTCTTTTTTTTACACTTGCGTCAGCTTAGTGTGTTACTACAAACACAATGAAATCATTTTTTTCGCGTCTCCGGCGCAGTTGGTCTGGAGCTAAAGAATAAGCGTAGGACGGCAAACCTGAGTTCAAATCTGACAGGACCTGTTTTTTGCAAGTATTCCGTTGCAAAAAATTGTTGTCTTATTATTTGTCTGCTTAGGTTTTATTGGCTTAGTTGTCAAATTGTAGATATGTTTGTTTTGTTTTCGCAAAAAAAAACATTGTAGTTGCTTTTAGTATTTTAACTTATTTTCGCTGTTTTGCAAAACTTGCTTCGCATTTTTTTTCTTTTTTTTATGGTTTTTTCGTTAAAAACTTTCTTCTGCCTAAATTATTTCGGCCTATATTTCATCAGCTTAGTGATCTTATATAGCGTCGTTTGATGGTCAAATAAGTGGTTCGCGTGCGTGTGTGAATGTTTTGAGATGGAGAGGGACTTGAACTTTTTTTGTTAGTTTTTATGTTTTTTTTCCACTGAAACTTGGTATTTGAAGCTTGGTTCTTCCCATAATTGTTTCACAATTTTTGTCTTGGCATGTTTTTTTCCAATGCTAGTTTCACATTTCCTGTCTTGGAATGTTTTTTTTTTTCAAAACTAGCTTTATTTATTTTGATAAATCTAGTTTTTCTGGCAGCTCCGTTTTTTTATATTAAAAATGTTACCGATTGTATTTCAAGTGGTGCGAAGCTCCGCTTCGCCTCTGTGTTTACATTATTCGAAGAAACTAAGTAAAGTTGAAATTTGAAAGGCTTATTATAGATATTTGTGTATTGTATTGTCGGACAGCCTAAATAAAACGGTTTTACCTTATAAAAAGCAACTTTGTGGTTTAAGGTAATATCCGGATTAAGGTAAGTCCATGTTAAAACTTTCATCAGTCGGAAACATCAAAACGATGCTTTGATACAAGTGGTCATATTGTATTGCTGAATTTTTCGATAATTTTGATACGGCGCGCTTGGTTGTTGGTACTTATATGCTTGCGATTAGCGAGTTCAATCAAATTGGAATTTTTTCGGGTTAACAACCAGTTAAACAACATCACTGATTAATTTCACCAACAGGCATATCTGGTCAACAGATACATTTTAAGTATATAAGGACTTCAAATTCCTGTTTTAACCGAAATTAATGTTAAATTTAGTCGTAAACCAACCTTGTTTTTTTTTTGTTTCACCATAATGTTTCACAAAATATTTTTTATATTATTGACGTGGTTAGTAATGACGGATTTGATCGAGTTTTCTTATTTTTCAAGTTATAAGACTTCAAATTGCTTTTCTCAACACTGGTAAAAAACCTAAACTTTCATTGAACGAAGTGAAAACACTTATTTTGGTCGTTTGGTTTGTTTTTTTTTTGTCAGAAATTTAATTTCGCAATTTAATCACTCTGAAATTTGATTTTTTCGCAGTTTGACTTTTCGTAGTTTGACAAATTGTTTTCTCCAATTACGAAAGTGCGAATGACGAAAATAAAAATGAATGAATTTAAGTTTCGTAATGTTTTTTCAAATTTAAGATTTTCCAGCGGAGTTTTATGAAAAAAGTTAGTCAATTGTTGAAATTCAAATAGTTTTCTTAGAAATCGTTTTTTTTTCGGCGTCCTTTAGTTCATCGACACTTCTCATTTGGTTATGTTTCAAAATAATATAATCTCTTAATGGCTTCAAGGTTTTGGTTTGTGATACTTGAATTTCTGCCAAAAAACACGCCTTTGGGGTCGAAAATAAAATGCGGAAAAATTTTTAAGCTCCTAACAAAAAATGAAGTGATTTCTACACAAGCCCAAATTTCTACTGTTATTTTCTAATCCATTTTTTAATCGTAGTTCTTTTTTTATTCTCGACGTTTTTTAATTTGAGTTTGGATTTTGCTCTCCTTTTTCTTTTTTTTTGCTCTGGTTGACGAAGTGCAGCATTGCCTTGGTGGAGGAAATGTTGCAGCACCTCTAACTCTGACCAACTATCTCACTTGAAAACCAGTGACTCAAAATGGTTCTAAGAAAAATAAAATTCAACGTTTCAGCACATAATTAGACCGTGAAAATTATTTAAAAACTACCAATGCAACAAAAACAGTCTGAAATCAGTGTGCAATAAGTCCTTAAAAATCCCGAAAACTTTTTGTCAGAGAATCAATTTACCAGTAAACCGAAAACTGGTGGTCTTTTTCAGAAAAGAGAGATTGGATTTTTCTTGCATCATTGAATTGCATAATTGCAGGAAATGAACATTCAGATTAGTACAATACAAATTGAAGTAAAATCGGTTTTTTCATTAACTTAAGAATTCCAATTTGTATAGTATTAACTCAAAAACATTCACCTTTGTGAATCTTTGAAAAGTCTTTTTTGTTCAAAGATTTTTTCTGAAATTGGTGTAGCTAAAAACTGATCACAAGCTTAATGTAATGAAAAATGCGCCACCTGAATAGCTGCGAACGTTCGTTATCAAATTAAGCTCAAATCTGAAATGTCTTTGTCAAAAATCGCCCTTGAAAAAACCTCTCTCTTTTCATCTTTTGGTAGTCGACGGTGAATTGTTTGTCCAGTTTTGCCTCTGGTCCATTAATATATTTCCAGTTTTTCTCCATCCAGTCAATGAGGGTTTGGCCAAGTAATAAGTTCAATCAAGCAGACAGCCTGCAGCTACCATTGTTGCACAGCTGGCTTAATATGCGATATTAATTCAACCAAATAATAATGTGTATGTGAACGTTCAGGCTTAAGCTATTTAAGATTAACGTGAACCGTGTTTACTAGATAAAGTTAGTTTATTTAAAGTTTTTTAAGCGCCAATTCGGTAATCAAAAACTTCCAAATGCAAAAATTTTCTGGAAAGAAAATTGAAAACTTTTTGAAATTTTTTTTTCGAATTTTTTTTTAAAGATTTTTTTCGTTTTTCTATTCATTTTTCTTGAAAAACTGTTTTCCAATTGGTCTATCTTACTATGACTGCCGGTTCTATGCCCAAGTTCTATTTTTTTGCTTAGATCTTTTTATCACACCACGCAGAAAAACGACACTAATTTAAAAAAAAATTGTGTTTTTTTTCATACTATGGTCGGAATATTCTGTGCTACTTGCACATTCACCGGCTATCTTTGTTATTTTTTGAAAATTAGAGCTTATTGTGGCTACTCAACATAACATGCAAATATACCTCTGAGCCTCAAAGTGACTATTTTCCTTGCCCATTTCGTCCATGCCAATTTCAAGAATAACGATTTACCATTTAAAGCCAGGTTAAATTTTGATGTAGTCAACCAATGGTAGTTGTTGCATGCAACAGGGTCTGCACAATCTGAGTGGGTGTAGTCACCGACTGTCGCAGTTGGTGCTGGTGGCCAACACTCAATTGAGTGACCTTGGGGTGCAGAAGCTGGTGAGCAGTGTGCCCAACATAGAGAGCATCAACCTCTCCTTCTGCGTGTCACTCTCAGACGGCGCCTTCAAGAACATCGCCTACTCTTGCAGGCGCCTCACTGTACTCGGGCTAGCCGGATGCACGCTCGTAAGTCGCACTACACCATCATTGCTTCCAAATCCCCTCATCCTATGACATTCACTGCAGTTCCACTGACCGAGATTCTGAGATATCGAATAGATGTAGACATTTTTTAAAATCACCTAAATCTTGGCAAAAAAGTACTGTTTTTTCACTTGTTCGCTTGTTTACAGAAAAATGCCATTAATGATTATTTGATTTTCAGATATTTATAGTTGTGGCTTTCGAAAAGCTTGTGCCATGCTTACTGTTTCAAAACTCAAGATGTTTTTTGCATAGTATGTTTGCAGGTGGGAGACATGACTCTGCAGTACATCAGTGGGGCTTGTCCCTTCCTCACTCAGCTGGATGTGTCTGGCATCGTGGACCTCACAGACAAGTCCCTCAAATTCATCCGCAAGGGGTGCAAGAGACTCAGAGTCCTCATCATGCTCTACTGCCGCAACATGACCAAGTGAGCACACATGTTCAAGTCTGGTAGCTATTACAGAACAAACCAATCTCGAGTTCTCAATTTCTTACTAAATAGAGAATTTTTTGCGACTCTTTATCATATATGATATTTTTTGACATTACGCCCTCATGTTAGAAGCAGATAAGCTGTTTTTTCGATTTTTGAATTTTTTGTTTATCTCAAAGTTTTTTCTTATTTTTATAATAATAATAAATTGTTTCCAATATAGGTTCATATTGATCAATATAAATTATATAAATTACCACTTGAAAGAACCCAATCTAGAAGATCGTCATTAGGCAAATTCTGCCTGTTTTCAGACGTTTCTGAGCGCAAAAAAAGAACAGGTTTTAATTGGGATGGTGGTGTAATATCACCGTTTTTTTGTTACAATAGTATAGAATGAATGTTTTTAAGACTATAGAAATAAAAAATTATTCAGTTAGAAATTAAAAATAAAGTTAATGTGACAATTTTGGTGAAATTTAAACATTGGACATAACCGATACAATGAGAAAAATTGTAAGTTTATTAACTCTTTATTTCCTATTATTGTGGTCTCTATAAACTTATGGAGAAAGTTGTTAATTTCATTCCGTGTCATTTTGCTAATTTTTTCAAAAAAGTCGGAAAACGCTTTTTGAGACAGTTGTAGAGTTTTCGTGTTCTAATAACAATTGAAAATGTATGGTGTTTTTTAGAGTTGATCACTAATTTATTTATTCGTTTATGATTATGATGTAATTTTAATAGTTCGTCAGATGCGATTGATTTGTTGAGAGTCACATATTCACTTTCACTGCGAATAATTTTACAGAAGTTTTAAGAGTTTGTATAAATGAAGGTCTTTTACATTATATATTTACATTTTTTCCTGCAAAACTCTAGTTAATCTGTTGATGTTGAGATCAATCTTGTCAAAGTTTGATTTGGAAGTCGAACCTTATATTAGCACGCCATATTGAACAACAGGTTCAACGTAAGTTTGGGAAAACTGGTTGAGTTGCTGTTCATTTAAAATCTTTAGCAATTGATAAATCATTACAGAATGTAGTTAGCTTAGTATTAACAATATCAATGTGATCAATGAATTCCAGTTTTTTATCGAGATACGAACCCAGATATTTGAAAACGGATTTTTGTTCTATGTTTTCGTTGTTCATTTTAATTGAAGCGTTGTTTTTTTTTTTCATTCCAATTTGTGAACCTAACTCTTTTAGTTTTATCTAAGTTCAAAGTCAGTTCGCTTTCCTCCAACCATTACTTTCGTTTTGTCAATGCTTTTTCATGGTTTTCAATCAGTATTGATTTTGTAGTCTGAGTTTGAATAGCTGTATCATCGGCATAGAGATAGACATTGAGTTTTGGTATATCATTAATAAACAGATTGAAAAGTAGAGGTCCTATGATTGAGCCTTGCTGGACTCCGTATTTTATTTTTTGAATTTGCAATTTGATTCTGTTGATGCCTACAAACTGTTTCAATAGTTTGGTTGATCCAATCTAATCGAACTTTTTCTGCTAGAGAAGCAAAAGCGTCAACAGTACTTCTTCTTTGTCTAAATCCAAACTGAGTATGGTGTAATAGATTTTGTTGATTAACAAAATCTAAAATTCGGTTGTATATTAATCGTTCTAGTGTTTTTCAAAAGACAAGATTGATATTGGTCTAAGTTAGAAATTTCGTGTTCATTTCCTTCTTTATTTATAGGTATCTATTTGGCTATTTTTAATGAGCTCGGAAAAATGTTGTTGTCAGAACTTTTTTAAAATAAATGAGTTAGGACAGGCTCCAGTAGTTCCCTTATTGATAGAATGTAAACATGATTGATGTTACGGCAATCCAGGCTAATTTTCTTCAAAATTTTCAAGATTTGTTTAATTTCATATCTTGTCACTGGTCTCAAAAACATTGACTTTTTGACATTTTCTTCTACTTGTCTGTTGTGTGGTTTATGGAAAGCGTTTGGTAATTTTTTTGCCTAAATTCGCCAAAAAAATTGCTGTATAAATATTTATCTGAGATAATATTCTCTGTGCTGAAACACTTATTTTTAGCACTCCCAGTAGGATTGTTAATCAATTGAAAAAAAATCCTGTTTGTTTTTTGCGGCCTGCGTCTGCAGTTTGTTCTGATAAAAATCTTTTTTCTTTTTTCCATCAATTTTTTGTAAAAAAAAACTTATAAGCCTATTTTTGTTTCGTGCTTTTTTAACTTGGTTATCAATCCAAAACGTTTTGTCTTCATTTACCTTTTTTTGGTTTCTCAGGGATAAATTTATTCAAGTTGTCAATAAACATTGCGTGAATTTGAGTAAAGCCCTCCTCGCAGCTTGAATTATTCGCATTTTTTTCTAAGATTTTGAAGTCATTTTTCAAGCTGGTTTTCTATTTGTTCTACTATATCTTTTCTGTTGAGTAGGTGCCACTTTCTAAAGAGATAAGTTTTTTTCAGTTTGATCATTTTCACCTGCCACGTTTAAACGATAAATAATCGAAAAATGATGTGAGATCACTGTTTTTCATACCGCACTGCTGCCTTTACGACTTGAAAAGATAAATCTATGCATGTTTTTGACTTTGTTGTTACCCTTGTAGGTTATCAATCCTTGGTATTCACGCAGAATAGTTCATTCCCCATCATTAAGCTTCTAAATTAATTTCGCTTTTTTGAGCATCTCATACTGTTCGTTTCTCCGCATAATATTTGATATGATCCTGGATCAACCACAAAATATCAAGGAATTCTTGTAATTTGGTAAGGTTCTGGTTGTTGGCCGCTTTCGCAGGAATGTACACGCAGGTTAAACTTATTTCAATTTTACTGTTCAATTCCAAAGTTATCATTTGAACATTTTTTTCCTTAAATTTTTGCTTTATCTGATATCGAGTATCCTCAGGCACAAAGATACCTACTTCTCCACCCTGTTCTTCTCATCATTAGTCTCGATATTTTTGTAACCTTTTAATTAGAACATTAATTTTTGATCCTCCGGTTTCAATCATGTTTCCGTTACACATATAGCTAAACTTAATTCATGCATTAGTTCAGTTTGAACCTGCAGCTCATCGATGTTTTTTCTAATTGTACGATTATTTTGAAGTAAAATTGTTTTTTTTTGGTATTTTTTGTTGCTCCTCGTTTTACAACCTCGTTTAAAATATCTTTTTTTAACCCAATCAATTCCATTTGTAATCACGGATACCCTCCTTGCTGGTCACTAACAACGGCATCCAGGGTCTCATCCACAATTGGCTCTATAGCTTCTTGAATAATCACTTTCGAAAGAATATAATCAAAGCTTTAAAATAAACTTAACTTTTTAATATTCAAAGGTCTTCAGAAGAAATTTAAATTTCAGTTCAAATTCATGTTTTTTAGTTAATGGCCCTCATTAAAAATGTGATGGCCTAATAAAAAATGGCACAATTGGACAGAACCTGAACCAACAATTAATTAAAATCTAACTTCTGAGAAAACGAAAATTTGGTGCCGTTATGTTTATGAAGGCTTATGAAGATCTCGAAGACTTATGGCTTGGTTTCGGAAATGAATTTGAAAGAAAGCCTCTAACCACCAAATTTGAAAAATATATATGGAGAAATCCAATAATTCTGAAAAAAAACTCCTAATAGATGAAAATTAACTTCAATGAAATTAAACTTTTATAATTTTAGAGGGACGGTGAGCAAACTGAAACAATGGATCGAAGTGGTTGAATGGAGTAGCAACATCCCCCCACCCTCATTCAAGCTGCACCTGAACTCAGTGGCCAATTTGGTGCCCATTCCACAGTTACCCTCCCAGCCCCACCCACACCCCAACAATACCAGCCATAATAACCCACCTCAGCTCACGATGACTAAACCAGTCAAGTGATTACTAGTAGTCATGCCTCAAACTACCAAGAATATCGGAACAAACTTCAATCACTGATCTAAAGTTTTCTATTACCTTCAATTTAGTAATTAAACAAATGAAGACATTCAGTTTTATGACGATGTTACCCGAAGGTGGTATAAATAACCGGATATTGAGTTTAAAAATTCGGACCCAATATTGGCCCAAATAAGACTTACTTCTTTAGTTGAACTCGAGGAAATATGGATTTGAATATAAACGAAGAAATGAAACGCAGGTTTGCATTCCTCGCGATATAAAACCATAAGTCAGTATTCAGGCGTAAAATTTTGGATGTAAAGAAAGTCCGACATAGTACTTAATATATTTTTTAGTTCAAAACATTTCTTGAAACTCAATTATTTGCACCATTACAGGAACGCATAGGAAGGATTTTCGACTAGATCCTAATTTCTGGGTCAAAGTTCCATTTTTCCTGATTTTTACCCCTTTTTTCCCTATATCACTTAATTTTTTATGCTGTTTGTCGCTTGTTTACACATGCACAGCTAGGTGTGATACTACAAGGCTAATATGTTTTCCGGCCTAAGTCGCAAATATCGGGAAAGCTAATTGTTTCATACAACAGTACAATAAAAAACTTATTTTCAGAAACTTTTTTGCGAACATTTTGAGGTGATTATTTACACACAATTTGGCTTAACACTTGGCAGTTTACCTATTCCGGTTATTCTGGTTGCTTTTTGTTCCGACTTTTGTAACGAAAGTAACGGAATATTTGTGCTCGTGGTGGGTTTTTTTCTTCAGACAAATTTCGACCTTTTAACTAGCAATTTTTGACGGAACTTTTTTACATCATTCAAAAACCGTTGTTGCCCTAAGCTTAAATTTTAAAAGATTTTTCTCCTGTGATCATTTTTCGTAAAGTAATGGGGGCTTCAACATTGCCATTTCGGCCAATTTGTGACAACTAACGCGCGATATGTTACGCGCTATTAACGTGTAATCGGAGATTTAATCTGTCTTTTAAATCGTTCAAAATTGGTTCAAGGAAGATAATATGCCATAAATGATTTGTTAATAAAGCAAAATTTTTCACTTTGCACGTAAAATGGCGTGTGGGAGGATGTTTTCATTAAAAAAAATCTCAAATTGTTTAGAAAAAAAAATTTAATTTTTTTTTTTTTTTACATTAAAAGTTTCCATGTTATTACTGCTCCATAGACCTTAAAAAGGCAGTCGGAACAATTAGGGTTTTGCCCTGATAGGAGCAGACTTGTATTATTGTTCCGACTTTCGATACGAAAGTAACGGAATATTTGTGCTCGGGATCGGTTTTTTTCTTCAGACAAATTTCGACCTTTTAACTAGCAATTTTTGACGGAGCTTTTTTTTACATCTTTCATAAACTGTTGTTGTCCTAAGCTTAAATTTGAAAAATATTTCTCCTGTTATCATTTTTTGTAATGTTATAGGGTCTTAAACATTGCCATTTTGGCCAATTTGGGACAACTAACGCGCGATATGTTACGCGCTATTGACGTGTAAGCGGAGATTTAATCCGTCTTAAAAATTGTTCCAAATTGATTGAAAGAAGCTTATTTGCCATAACTGATGTGTTACAAGGAGCAAAATCGATCCTTTTATACTTTATATGGCGTGTGGGCGATGATTTTCATTAAAAAATTCAAGCTTTAGAAAAAAAATTTAATTTCATTTTAGTACGTTTAATTTTTTTAAGGTTTTTACTGCTCCATAAACCTTAAAAGACAGTTGTAACATTCAAGTTTTTGCCTTGATGCGAGCATTCTTTTTTTTACATTCCAAATTATTGCATCCAAAATGTGTGTTTTTTGTCTTCTTGGCAGCTCCTTTTAGCCGGTTTCTGAATGCGTCAGTGATACCATTGCTTAGAGCAGTCAAATTGAAAATTTAAATTTCCGAGGACTGTGGTTTACTTCCTGCAGAGAGTATTAACATTTCAAAATTCACAAGATTTTGCATATATTTTTGTTTTCTATTTTAAAACTTTTCAAACGCTAATTCTGTTTTTTTCCTTTTCTGCTTACGACGTGCAGCTACGCATCTTTGTTGCAATTTGTAGCCTCGCTTCGGAGTCAAAAATTAATTTACTGTTTTATTTTTTGTCGTATGATTTGCTACAATTTGTTCAGAATGCTCTACAGATCTTTGACATCTAAACAGAAAACAAGAATGCACGTATCAGTGCAGATCCCTGAATGTTCTGACTGCCTTTTAAAGTTAATGCATTAGTGTTTGCTTTAAAAATGATAGTGATTGTAACATTAAAATTCAAAACAGACTAATTGTATCAAGGCAAAGCCCTGAATGTTCCGACTGTCTTTTAAGGTTTATGGAGCAGTAATAACCTTTAAAAAAAATTAAATGTAATAAAATAAAATTATTTTTTTTTTCAAATTTGAAAAATTTTAAATAAAAATCATCCCCCCACCTGTCATATAAAGTACAAAAGGACAGATTTCACTCCCTGTAACAAATCCATTAAGGCAAATATGCTTCTTTCAACCAACTTGGAACAATTTTTCAGACAGATTTACTCTCCGCTTACGCGTTAATAGCGCGAAATGTATCGCGCATTAATTATCCCAAATTGGTCAAAATGGCAATCTTTAACCGTCATAACTTTACAAAAAATGATCACAAGTGAAATATCTTTTCAAATTTGAGCTCAAAACAACAATACTTTTTGAATGATATAAAAAAGATTCCGTCAAAAATGGCTAGTTAAAAAGTCGAAATTTGTCTGAAGAAAAAAAACCCACCCCGAGCATAAATATTCGGTTACTTTCGTACCAAAAGTCGGAACAAAAAAATCTAAATATTAAAAATTATCCCCACACAAACTAGTAAGGAACAAAATGGTATTTATGCCTGTAGCAAATAATTAAGAAGACCAAATCGCATGCCTGAGAACAATTAGCGGGGATTAAATTTCCGCTTACGCGTTAATAGCACGAAACTTTTTGCTTGTCATTTGTCACAAATTCCCCTTGCGTGTAAATCTATCTTGGAAAATCCGGACTGTAATTAACAACTCCGCCTTATGCAACACCGTACAATTAAAATAGGCTAAAGCGATAAGAAAAATTAAATTCTTTTCGCGGGAATTTAACTGATTCGCTGCCCGGAAATTAACCTTAAAAAAAGAACTAGGTAGGCATATATTTTCAACCAACTGAACTTTCTGTTCGTGATGTTTTCACAATTCTTTATTTTCACGTGGAGCGTAATTTGGGAAGAGGGAATCAATTTACTTGACATTGAATTCAGATCAAGCTCTGTAAGAGAGTTGTTGATATATTAGAACTGCTATGCGACGTTTCGTGAGCCAAAGCACTTTTAGTTCATTATTTGCCGTTGGCTTACTGCCATGAAGACAAATTGGTGCTCGACCTAGCTTAAAGCAAAATTGACGTAAGAATAAAAATAAACCTTGTCAACGCAGTTTTGCTCCTGGTATACAGAACATGATATTTTAAGCAAACTATTTCAACTCCCGTCAAATGTCTGTGATAGCTGATCTAATCCTTCAAAAATAATAATTGGGTGCCTGCAAAAACAAGGTTGAAAAATGGTTTATAGCAATATCTCGACAAAAAGCGAGTAAAGCGACCAACGAAGTGCTAATGAAGTTGAAGAACATTAGAACATTCTTCGGCTTTACTTTTGGCACCAACTATCATCCTTGTACCGATCTATTATCATTAGTCACCTTATTCGTCACCTATTTTCTTGCAGCGGGATCTTCTTTGTTTAATTTTTTCAGGTTTATTTGACAATCTCAACCACAGTTTCAAAAAGGGTGAATATTGTCTAGCATGTCGTCTAAGTGACCACAAGGCAGAATATTAAAAAGCAACAAATTGCACGCACAGTGTTGCATTTAGTAAGAGGAAAATGATTTTCTGCATATAATGATATTTAGGGGCTGAGAATGAACAGAATAGGGGGTGGAGTATTGATTGAGGAACAATGACTTGTTCAGATAGTTTTTTTTAACAAAAACCTTACGAGGCCAAACTATGCACTCGATAGGCGCACAATTTTGTGTCTGTATTTGCCTGGATTCCAGTGACAAATCTTTAAGAATTTTTCAAAAGGTAAGAGGATTCCACTTACAAAATTTACGTGGATTCTGCGTACAAATAGCTTTAACGTAAGTTTTGTCACACATTAGTTTTGTTGCGGATTCCGCAACAAACAAATAAAGGTAGTAGTTCTGGATTCCGCAAATCAAGCGGAATCCGCAAAAGTAATTGGATTTCGCAAATTTATGCGGACTCCGCTAACAATTTGCGGATTTCGCAAATATTTTGCGGATTCCACTTACAGCCGCGGGTTCCATGACAGCTTAAATTTACTAAACACATATTTTATAATAGTTTATGGATTCCACAATCTGTTCCGGACTCCGCAAGTTTTCATGATGATTCCACAAAATTTGTAGCGAATTCCGCAAAGTTGCAGTTTTTGGACGTCAATATATACTAATTTTTTGAAGGGGGAGCGCGCCTAACGTGCCTCAAAAGGCACGTTTTGGCCTGATTTTTGAAAAATCTGCCGGCGGCACATAAATTGTGGTAAAAAAATGGCCTGTATAGTGGTTTGGTAGAGCTCTGGTATCTGGTAGAGCTTTGGTAATCCGCCCCCCCCTCGAGAAAAATCTGGATCCACCCCTGGCCCTGTCAGTTTTTGGTTTTGTCGAGAATAACTAATTTGAAAAACCTGCATGAATGGCTCAGCCCAAATTTTTTTACTCTTAAAAGTTTGCACTCGGAATAGTCAAATTTTTAATTTTTTGATAGTTTTTTTAACTTTTAAATGTTCTTGAAAACTATCCTGCCATACCTGAGATTTTGGGTTCAATTCTCAGAACGGGTTATGAGAAGCTCGTTAGTCGGAAAAGTAAGAAAAATTGTTGTTTTGCAAGTTTTTTAGAGTTTGTTTTTGTCTTTTCTCAAAAAATACCTCAAAAATCTGAAATTTTGGGTTCAATAAAAATTGCAGGTTCCGTGAATTCTTTCAAAAATCTGAAATTTTGGGTTCAATAAAAATTGCAGGTTCC